ATCCGAAATTAATTGAGATGCACGTATAAAACTTAATGGTCCGGAAATTAATGAGATGCACATTAACTGACTCGAACTCGATTATTAAAAAAAAAAAAAATTCTAACACTTAAGCTACTGTATATAGCTTTGGCCACTAACACTCCATGTTTCTTTTTTAGTACTTGAGATGGCTGATGAATGATTTCATATTTGACGTCTACGTATTACCGTAAACATAGTAATCTTAATCAAAGTGAATTAACGACTTCCGTTAAGTGTGTTAACTGTTAACACCTTCCGTTTATGGACCTTTCAGCTCTTCACTGTACTAGGCCCTCGTATTTTCTGTTTTATATGATGCACCCAAATTCCTTATATTACAATATGATCCTTCTATCTTTTAAAAACCAGAAAAAATTTTTGTAACATTTGAGTCCCTCTTTGGAAATAATCATCGCTTGCGCTCTTCCGTCGTGGTTATGCCCATCTTATCTTTCATTTTGGGTTAGTATTTACTATTTTAACTCAAATTTTTTTTATAAAATTTAAATTAATTGTCTTCTTATTTTATTATTAATAGTTGCCTTAATTTTTTTCTTAAAAAAAAACCTCTTCACCTTAATTGTGGACGGAATTAAATTTTAAAACCTCGTATACAATCCTTAAAAAATCCAGTTGATTGATCTACTTAGTACTTAATACTAACCATAAATTTCTTTTTTAAGTCCACAATACACCCAATTTAATTAGATTAGATCTAATAATTACAATTCAATAATATTACTCTTCCGAAAAACCATATGGTGACGATATGAATTTGAGATAAGTATTATTAGATTTAGTTTGGAATTTTGTAGCTTATTCCATAATTACTTATTGAAACTTATAAATAATTTATAAGGGATTTGTTTATTTATTTAAAATTATTTTAATTTTAGGAAAAAAAATAGTATAAATACAAAAAGATCACAATGGGTAATTTTTAACTAGTTTTGTGTTATTTTTTAAATATGTTAAAATTTCTTAAATAGAAAAGTTTAACAAAAACTAGCCGAGGAATCACAAGCCATTGCAGAGATTGCCCAGCAGGCAGCAACTTCTGTCGACGAGTGAGATAGGACACTTGGACGGTTGAAATCGTGTTGGCGACTATATTCGATAGACTCTAGTTTGACCCGGTCATGATAGTACATTTAAAAAAAAGATAATACTATGTGCATACTAATTGTACTAATCAAGTATTAATATTAAAAATTAAAATTTTTTTTTGAGAATTTTAAATTTTCAATGTTATATTGGATTAGTACAAATTGGTTAATGCACATAACATTACTCTTAAAAAAATTATCATGTCGCTTGATATAAAGGAACTTATAAGCAGGGCGGATGCAATACTAGTTGAGGGTGGTCCACCTTCTTTTTTTTAAATATTAATATGTACAATTTCTAGAATTTGGCCACCCTAACAAAAATATTAATGTGTAATTAGTTTTGATTTTGACCAACCTTAACAAAAAAATTTAGATCCGCCCTACTTATAAGATATTATAAAGGTGAGCTAGGTGCTGCTTTTTTTTTTTTTTTTAATCACAAAATGAATTGGTTTATAAACTGAAGATAATGGTTGAATATAAATAATATGTTTTTTTAGTTTTTTATAGTTGGATTATAAGTGTTGAGTGTTTGCTTTTACAATAAAAATATATGAATAGTAATTTTATAGTAAGAGCATCCGTATATAAATTTTGTGAGGATAATGTTGGAATATTATTAGATTCATCAACGTTGAGTGAATGAATATTTTACAATGAATCCAACAGTATTGAGTATGATACTTTCAAATGTATATAAGGATGTCCCTATTAAAGAATTGTTGAATGTATTAATTCTACATTTTCAAGTACAATAAAACCTCTTTACATTGATACTTTATATAGGAATAACTTCTATACAGTCATAAAAAAATTATGGTCCTAACTGGGCCAATATTGTTAGGGTAGCTACACAGAGTCAATCTTATTGTAGTAATTGACTATTTGTATAAACATGTTAATATTAATATAAGGTATCACAGTATTTGTAAATCATATTACATATGTTATAATAATGTCTTTTAGAATGGTGGAACTATGACGAGGGAATCAAGTGATAATAAGTCTTGATTGTGAGATCCTTGTGAGCATATTTGGTGGTCATTCTAAAAACGTCTATAGCTTAGTTTATCCTAAAGTAACGGTATAGATAATACGATAAGGCTATCATAGGTTTAACGACCCTATCAAAAAATAGTAACAGATATTACATGTTGAAGTTGTTTGGTGAACAACTTGGTGCAACGCATTAGTGCTTGCAGTTGGCAAGTTCACTAGAGGATCACTAGAGGATTCCATACAGATGGTAACCCAATGTCTATGGAATATATCCTCTAACATATGGTGGTGTATATGATCCTTAGACTTGAGATCACCAAACCGTCGTGTGTAAATATCGATGTAGTTTGATGCTAACCTAACGTAGTCCTTTAGGGTTATCAGTACATGAGTAATTGACTACATTGAGAAGTACACTATGGCTATGGTGATCGACATATGATTCTCACTCTTGGATACAGGAGAATTTATGTCGTTAAGTAATGGTAATGACAACAACCCAAAACTATTACCACAATGAAATTGAGTAGGTGCTCAAGTTCAATTTATCAAGTCATTAGTTTGATTACCGAATACAAACATTTCAAGGCAGTATATTTGAAATTGACTTATTTATGTACTTCAAACCTTGATAGATAATAGATGATGAAAAAATTGATTGCACAGTAACCATAACGTAACATTTAGCTAATATGCTGAATCCGAATCATTAGTGGCCATGATGCTTGGTTAGAGGTAATATGAGTCGATGTGTAATGAGACATTATAAGTGTCAATTGCGATATTACCCACTACCAATAAGATAAGAAGTCCATGGGTCACACACTGCCGATAAGATAAGGAGTCCAAGAGTCACACACTTAAAAGACAAATAAAAGAAGATTTTGAATAAGGGCATTTCGTATTTCAGGGCGAAGGGGTATTTTGTTAAATCTTACAATGCGATTAAATTTGTTGGAAGATCTCGCTAATATTGGATTTAATTTTTAAGATTACATATTTATTTCAATATATATATTGGTGTATATATATATTTTTAATGAATAAATTATATTATTTAAATTTATATACATTGTATATACATTTAAATAGTAAATTGTTATTGAATAATATAAAATACCAAACCGACTTTTTTGGGGGCCTAAGTAAAGTTTAATTATTTACTTATAAATAATGATATTAGTGAGAATATTCTTGGAATATGTCAAAGGTATTAGGGTTAGGGTTGCCTATAAAAGGGGCCTTGACCCTTATTTCATCTCTTATTTACCCCCAAGTAAAAAAGTTGTTGAGAGAAATTTTCTTTTAGAAAATTTTCATCTTTGAACCTCTACCGTCAAATTAGCAATTGATCATGTGGGAATTCTTGTTGTGTGGATTACGCTCGTTACTTTCCTCTTAAAGTGGGTAGCGTTTTCTACAACCAAAATGAAGAAGCCTCCAATCAAAGGTATGATTATAACGAATGGTCAATCTTATATATATTTGTTTGAAGAGTTATTAACATCAATTATAATCGGATTATGTGTTTCGAATAAATTTTTTGTTTATTATTTCGCACTTTATTCGATTAAACCTTATAGTTATAATAAGAAAACTCACATTGTAATAAGTTATAATTTGTTAGGTCTCGTTTTAAGGAATTTGCCTCCAATAGTAATAATTATGTATTAACTTTCATTTACATAACTCAACACAAATATTTTCGATCAATCGAGTCGTGTATTAATTTTGGTGGCATGGTTGATTTGCTAGAGGAAGAAGGAAATGTATCACTTGAATTGGTTGAAGATTGCATGGGTTGCGTTATAGTCCAGTATTTATAAAATTTACAGTGAGAGAAAAACATAAAAAGAATGCAAAATTTTAGACTTTTAAGATAACTTTATATTCCCAATACAATAGATACATGTACTAGTTTTTTAAATTAGTGTCTCTTTTATTAATATCTATACCTGGATTTGATATACTCCATTAATTAATTATAGAGGTGGGAATTAGGCTTGGACCTAAAAGTCCAACCCAAAAAAACCGGTCCTAGGACCAGACTAGGCCAAAGGGAGGAGGGCCTGGGCTAGGGCCGATTCCTCCTCTGATATAGGCTCGGGCCCAAACCCCTCTCCAATTTCCTTTTAACCCTGTAAAATATCCAAAACCCTCTATTTAATATGAAATTGACAATAAACGTAAGAGTTAAAATAAAATTTTATAAAAAAATTGTCCAAGCCCATAGGACCAGTCTTGGGCCCATGACCGTCCCTGATTATTTGGGCTTGGGGCTCAGGACCAGACCCAAATTGGGCCCGAACCTTGAAGGGACGACTAGGCTTGGGCTTTTCCCACCTCTAATTAATTATTAATGTAGTGCATACTTATCTCTATGCTACACCTCTGTTAAGTTATAATCTCTTTATAGTAATAAAATTGTTTGGTCTCACCATTATGATTATACAAAGGTTGTATTATATAACTTTTACAAACAATGAAATTACTGACTACATTATATAATGTTGCCTTTTTGTGAACCCTTAGATCACAAGTGAACAACACTTTGAATCATAGTCTTTGAGCTATTGTGATATTACCTCTTTGTGATAGCCTTAGATCGTGAGAGATCAACTCTTGAACTTAATCTAGGGTTATTAACAAGATAACTTTATCACCATTGGATCTATGATTAGTTAACGTTGAATCATTAGATCGTAATTGTTATATTAAGATTTTGAAAAAAAAAAAAACAAAAAAAACTAGATAGAAATTGATTAAACACAACAGTATAAAACACACAAAGTTTTGAAGTCGAAGTGATTTTATATGATAATGATTGATAGAAAATATGATAAATGAAAAAGGGTCTATTGTTATAAAATGGGTTGGTTGATTTTCAAAGACAAACATACTAATAAATATATAATTTTAATTTCCAAAAATATCCCTTTCACAGCGGTGGTGTTGCTGATTTTACGGAAGAGAAGAGAGAAGAAGAAGGGTAAGGATGAAGATGGTGTATTTTCAGTGCTGAATTTGAAGGTTTTTTCTTACAAAGAACTTCACACAGTGACAAGGGGTTTCTCAGACAAACTTGGGCATGGTGGATTCGGGACAGTTTTTCAAGGAGAGTTATCAGATGCAACTATTGTTGCAGTGAAACGCCTTGAAAGGCCTGGAAGTGGAGAAAAGGAGTTCAGGGCAGAGGTTTGCACTATTGGGAACATTCAACATGTTAATCTAGTGAGACTTAGAGGTTTTTGCTCAGAGAATTCTCACAGACTATTGGTTTATGATTACATGCCAAATGGTCCTTTGAGTTCTTATTTACGCCAAGGTAGTCCTAATATAAGCTGGGATATTAGATTTCGGATAGCCATTGGTACGGCTAGAGGTATTGCATACTTACATGAGGAATGCAGAGACTGCATCATCCATTGTGATATCAAACCGGAAAACATTCTTTTGGATAGTGATTACACAGCCAAGGTATCAGATTTTGGACTAGCAAAGTTAATTGGTCGGGACTTTAGCCGAGTATTGGCCACAATGAGGGGCACTTGGGGCTATGTAGCACCGGAATGGATATCTGGATTGGCAATTACAGCAAAAGCTGATGTTTATAGCTATGGAATGACATTGTTAGAGTTAATAGGAGGTCGCAGAAACGTTGAGGCACCAGCTTCTGGAGGCAATGGTAATGTTGATGGTGGTGGTGGAGCTGAATATGGGGAAAAATGGTTTTTCCCTCCATGGGCAGCACGGCAAATAATTGAGGGCAATGTGGCAGCAATCGTGGATGATAGACTAGGTGGAGTTTATAATGTTGAGGAGGCAGAGCGTGTTGCATTGGTGGCAATTTGGTGCATACAAGATAACGAGGAAATGAGGCCTACAATGGGGATGGTGGTTAAGATGTTGGAGGGAGTAGTGGAGGTGACCACTCCTCCACCACCAAGACTAATACAAGCACTTGTTTCCGGGGAGTCATATCACGGAATCAGGATGGATTCCAACAATGGGGCATCCATTGCTGGTGACTGTTCTGGCAATATAAGAGTATCAACTGGAGGTTCACATTCATCTTCTGGAAATGTCTCTTCCCCAATGAATGTTTTAACTGACAAATTTGTCGGGAAAACTGATGAGAAAAGCCAAGTTCAGTAACAAGTCTATAGTTTTTGTTACTCCAGTCTTCTCCTTAAGTTTAGAAGCTCTTTTTTTTTTGTCAATTTAAAAATGCAATAGAAAGAAATGTAATGTAGATTACCAAGCAAGTATAAAAAGAGTTAATGTTGCTTTAGAAGTTTTGCCACTTCTCAAATGATTCCAAATAGATTCAAATGCCTAATGTCCTTTTCAGCTGTACATATCTGTGATTGTATTTAAGTGCATGTATACGTTTCCCTTTTTTCATCAAAGGGCAGTTAGGTGATGATGTTGTTACGGTATTTGTTTGAATGTGCACAGTCTAAATTGGGTTCAAAATCCGAATAATACTACACCAACAATCCTCTCTCACACAATTATGATGTGATAACTCATAATTAGTTAGTTTATGATAGGTTTTACATAGGTCCTATTAATTAATTGTAAGCTGATTAACTGCGAGTTTTCACATCAAAGTTATGAAAGAAAGTTTATGAGAGAAGATTATTAGTATAGTATTATCCTGTAATCACGTGACAGCATGATGACGCTGAGCCCAAATAGCCCCAAGGCCAACTGATCGTCATAATATCGATGCACTTACAGTTAATAGCTCAAAATTAATGAGTCAAACTTGGCAGCTCAACCAATAATTGCCGCACAATCACATCAACTTTTTGTTAAGTAGTCGAATGATTCAATTTGTCCATTGTTTTATCTCTTCCTTTTGAGTTTTGAATTCATGTATTGGTTGGATACATAGAATGCAGCCTCATCACTTCAACAAGCAAGAACCCTTTGCACGCTCCATGATTCTCACCTTCTAACCCAGTGCGTGCATTATAGGCGCCTGCTGGGAATTGAAAGTTCTTGGATCCGTTTTGTCTCTTTCCCAGAAGGAAAGTTGTTCAATTTGTTCTTCTTGTTAGAAACGTAACTTCGTGCTAATGTTTGGTTCATTAAGAAATCTTATTATTATTAGATGATCTTCTTCTTTGCGTTGTAATGGCCTCAGCAGCTTGCTTGTAAGCCCATCTGGCTTCGTTATGTATGATGGTCCATTTAGTTGAACCCAACTATCTAGTTGCCATCTTTAGCCCAGGAGACCAGGACCCATAAAGAGAGACCAAATTCCTATAATAAAATTAATGGTAAACATTTTTATTGGCTCAGATCAGAAGCATGTGAAACCCAGTATTTGAAAATAGTTAATAGTGCTTACCATCCATTCCATATGCACCATTCAAATACAAAGTACAAACCTTCCTTGATACCACTGGTCATTATCTATCGTAAAGCTTCACATTAAAGACTAAAGAGAGAATGTCACATGGCATGCACATCTCAACAAGTTTTTCTGTTTTTTTTTTTTTTTTTTAGTAAAAACTCTTTTATCTTTCAACGGACAACCTTATTCTGTTATTCATAGCTACCATTAAACACCAGTAATAGCTCAAAGACAAACTTAAGTTACAGGAAGAAATAAATGAAAAGAAAATAACTCTAAGCTCATTCAATCCAAAATTTATTGAATTAGGACTTCATTAAAGCAGCAAAAATTGGGAACCATAAGGAAAATGAAGAACTTACGGCAGAGGGGAACACAAGTTGTTCATCCTCCACTGATGATTCATCACCTATAATGAGGCATTTAAAGGGATCAAAAGTATCCACCATTGATGGCATCGATATCTGGGACACAGCTGATCTCCATCATGCTCCTACCTCGTTGCTTGCTTCCCATGAGGCTGATTACCCTCCTGTTCATAACTTTCAAGACGCAAAATATATATGTTTTGTTGAGTCCAACAAGCTATGGGCCATTGCTGCTCCTATTGCTTTCAACATTTTGTGCAATTATGGGATTAACTCATTTACCAATATCTTTGTTGGCCATATTGGAGATATTGAGTTATCTGCAGTTTCAATTGCTTTATCTGTCGTTTCAAATTTCTCCTTTGGATTCTTGGTTAGCACCCTTCAATTCAACTCAACATAACGTTTTTCTATTCATTAATTTCTTCCCTTTAATTTTCTTATTTATGGAATCTAAGGTAATGTATTAAGAGCCATAATACATTTGCATGCAGCTTGGCATGGGAAGCGCACTTGAGACGCTATGTGGACAAGCATTTGGCGCGGGGCAAGTACAATTACTAGGTGTATACATGCAACGTTCATGGATAATCCTTTTTGTTGCCTGCTTCCTCCTAATGCCACTTTTCATATTGGCAACACCAATCTTAAAGCTTCTTGGGCAACGAGATGACATTGCAGAACTTGCTGGGACATATACTATTCAAGTAATGCCTCAAATGTTTTCATTAGCCTTCAATTTCCCAACCCAAAAATTCTTGCAGGCACAAAGCAAAGTTGGTGTTCTAGCATGGATTGGTTTTGTAGCTTTGATTGGGCACATTGGTTTATTGTTTCTGTTTATACATGTGTTTGATTGGGGAACTGCTGGAGCTGCTGCTGCTTATGACATATCAGCTTGGGGGATATCGATTGGTCAGATTATTTATGTGGTTGGTTGGTGTAAAGATGGGTGGAAAGGATTGTCTTGGTTGGCCTTTAAAGATATGTGGGGATTTGTAAGACTGTCTATAGCTTCAGCTGTTATGCTTTGCCTTGAGTTTTGGTATTTTATGACCATAATTGTTCTCACTGGTCATCTTGATGATCCAGTTATCGCCGTTGGTTCTCTTTCTATATGGTGAGAATCCAATTTACTTCTTAATTTGACAAACTATTTCTGAGTTGTATGTGGTCATGCTTAGTTTTAGTTGCAATTGTTTGTTTCAGTATGAACATCAATGGGTGGGAAGGCGTGTTTTTTATTGGAGTCAACGCAGCTATAAGGTAACAAATGTGGATGTTTGATATTTTTTTCTGGTAATGTTATGTTGGTGCTAGTTTTAATCGTGTCTTTGCTTCCAGCGTACGGGTGTCTAATGAGCTTGGATCAGGACATCCCAGAGCTGCAAAATACTCTGTGGTTGTCACAGTCTTGCAATCTCTTCTTGTTGGGATTATTGCTGCAACTATTATCATGGCAACAAGACACCAGTTTTCCATTATCTTCACAGACAGCCAACAGATGCAAAAAGCTGTGTCTAACTTAGCTTACCTACTTGGTATAACCATGGTGCTAAACAGTGTCCAGCCTGTTATATCTGGTGAGATATATATGTATATAATACAATTAACAGATCCCAAACGTTATATATCAACATATTATTACAGAAATAATGTTGGCAGGAGTTGCTGTGGGTGGAGGGTGGCAAGCTTTGGTGGCTTATATAAACTTGTTTTGCTATTACGTTGTTGGGCTCCCTCTTGGGTTTCTTCTCGGTTACAAGATGGAATATGGAGTGCAGGTAACAATTAGTTAAGATGAAGCTTTTATGAATTTCATGTACAATTATTTGCATGAATTACATGTGTGGATCGGTGTTGTTGTAACAGGGAATTTGGGTTGGCATGATTTGTGGGACTTTTCTGCAGACAATGATCCTGGTGTACATCATTTACAAAACCAACTGGAATAAGGAGGTGAGTAGCGTATTACTATTAATTAATTATACTATTATAATTCAACTTTTTTAGCCATTAAAAGTGAATATATATATATTTCAGGTTGAACAAACATATGAACGAATGCGGAATTTGGGAGGATTGCAGCAAAGATTTGATGGGTAGACTTGGGTTTCATCCATCTCATCAACCATAGTTTAACCATAAATAGCCCCAAGGCCAACTGATCGTCATAATATCGATGCACTTACAGTTAATAGCTCAAAATTAATGAGTCAAACTTGGCAGCTCAACCAATAATTGCCGCACAATCACATCAACTTTTTGTTAAGTAGTCGAATGATTCAATTTGTCCATTGTTTTATCTCTTCCTTTTGAGTTTTGAATTCATGTATTGGTTGGATACATAGAATGCAGCCTCATCACTTCAACAAGCAAGAACCCTTTGCACGCTCCATGATTCTCACCTTCTAACCCAGTGCGTGCATTATAGGCGCCTGCTGGGAATTGAAAGTTCTTGGATCCGTTTTGTCTCTTTCCCAGAAGGAAAGTTGTTCAATTTGTTCTTCTTGTTAGAAACGTAACTTCGTGCTAATGTTTGGTTCATTAAGAAATCTTATTATTATTAGATGATCTTCTTCTTTGCGTTGTAATGGCCTCAGCAGCTTGCTTGTAAGCCCATCTGGCTTCGTTATGTATGATGGTCCATTTAGTTGAACCCAACTATCTAGTTGCCATCTTTAGCCCAGGAGACCAGGACCCATAAAGAGAGACCAAATTCCTATAATAAAATTAATGGTAAACATTTTTATTGGCTCAGATCAGAAGCATGTGAAACCCAGTATTTGAAAATAGTTAATAGTGCTTACCATCCATTCCATATGCACCATTCAAATACAAAGTACAAACCTTCCTTGATACCACTGGTCATTATCTATCGTAAAGCTTCACATTAAAGACTAAAGAGAGAATGTCACATGGCATGCACATCTCAACAAGTTTTTCTGTTTTTTTTTTTTTTTTTTAGTAAAAACTCTTTTATCTTTCAACGGACAACCTTATTCTGTTATTCATAGCTACCATTAAACACCAGTAATAGCTCAAAGACAAACTTAAGTTACAGGAAGAAATAAATGAAAAGAAAATAACTCTAAGCTCATTCAATCCAAAATTTATTGAATTAGGACTTCATTAAAGCAGCAAAAATTGGGAACCATAAGGAAAATGAAGAACTTACGGCAGAGGGGAACACAAGTTGTTCATCCTCCACTGATGATTCATCACCTATAATGAGGCATTTAAAGGGATCAAAAGTATCCACCATTGATGGCATCGATATCTGGGACACAGCTGATCTCCATCATGCTCCTACCTCGTTGCTTGCTTCCCATGAGGCTGATTACCCTCCTGTTCATAACTTTCAAGACGCAAAATATATATGTTTTGTTGAGTCCAACAAGCTATGGGCCATTGCTGCTCCTATTGCTTTCAACATTTTGTGCAATTATGGGATTAACTCATTTACCAATATCTTTGTTGGCCATATTGGAGATATTGAGTTATCTGCAGTTTCAATTGCTTTATCTGTCGTTTCAAATTTCTCCTTTGGATTCTTGGTTAGCACCCTTCAATTCAACTCAACATAACGTTTTTCTATTCATTAATTTCTTCCCTTTAATTTTCTTATTTATGGAATCTAAGGTAATGTATTAAGAGCCATAATACATTTGCATGCAGCTTGGCATGGGAAGCGCACTTGAGACGCTATGTGGACAAGCATTTGGCGCGGGGCAAGTACAATTACTAGGTGTATACATGCAACGTTCATGGATAATCCTTTTTGTTGCCTGCTTCCTCCTAATGCCACTTTTCATATTGGCAACACCAATCTTAAAGCTTCTTGGGCAACGAGATGACATTGCAGAACTTGCTGGGACATATACTATTCAAGTAATGCCTCAAATGTTTTCATTAGCCTTCAATTTCCCAACCCAAAAATTCTTGCAGGCACAAAGCAAAGTTGGTGTTCTAGCATGGATTGGTTTTGTAGCTTTGATTGGGCACATTGGTTTATTGTTTCTGTTTATACATGTGTTTGATTGGGGAACTGCTGGAGCTGCTGCTGCTTATGACATATCAGCTTGGGGGATATCGATTGGTCAGATTATTTATGTGGTTGGTTGGTGTAAAGATGGGTGGAAAGGATTGTCTTGGTTGGCCTTTAAAGATATGTGGGGATTTGTAAGACTGTCTATAGCTTCAGCTGTTATGCTTTGCCTTGAGTTTTGGTATTTTATGACCATAATTGTTCTCACTGGTCATCTTGATGATCCAGTTATCGCCGTTGGTTCTCTTTCTATATGGTGAGAATCCAATTTACTTCTTAATTTGACAAACTATTTCTGAGTTGTATGTGGTCATGCTTAGTTTTAGTTGCAATTGTTTGTTTCAGTATGAACATCAATGGGTGGGAAGGCGTGTTTTTTATTGGAGTCAACGCAGCTATAAGGTAACAAATGTGGATGTTTGATATTTTTTTCTGGTAATGTTATGTTGGTGCTAGTTTTAATCGTGTCTTTGCTTCCAGCGTACGGGTGTCTAATGAGCTTGGATCAGGACATCCCAGAGCTGCAAAATACTCTGTGGTTGTCACAGTCTTGCAATCTCTTCTTGTTGGGATTATTGCTGCAACTATTATCATGGCAACAAGACACCAGTTTTCCATTATCTTCACAGACAGCCAACAGATGCAAAAAGCTGTGTCTAACTTAGCTTACCTACTTGGTATAACCATGGTGCTAAACAGTGTCCAGCCTGTTATATCTGGTGAGATATATATGTATATAATACAATTAACAGATCCCAAACGTTATATATCAACATATTATTACAGAAATAATGTTGGCAGGAGTTGCTGTGGGTGGAGGGTGGCAAGCTTTGGTGGCTTATATAAACTTGTTTTGCTATTACGTTGTTGGGCTCCCTCTTGGGTTTCTTCTCGGTTACAAGATGGAATATGGAGTGCAGGTAACAATTAGTTAAGATGAAGCTTTTATGAATTTCATTTACAATTATTTGCATGAATTACATGTGTGGATCGGTGTTGTTGTAACAGGGAATTTGGGTTGGCATGATTTGTGGGACTTTTCTGCAGACAATGATCCTGGTGTACATCATTTACAAAACCAACTGGAATAAGGAGGTGAGTAGCGTATTACTATTAATTAATTATACTATTATAATTCAACTTTTTTAGCCATTAAAAGTGAATATATATATTTCAGGTTGAGCAAACATTTGAACGAATGCGGAATTTGGGAGGATTGCAGCAAAGATTTGATGGGTAGACTTGGGTTTCATCCATCTCATCAACCATAGTTTAACGATAAATCCTAAGCGGTTTTTGATTGTTCCGTTCTTTGAATTATTTTGATTCAAATTTTGAGATCATCTAGTATGATAATATTGTGGCTTACCTAATCATTTGCTTTTGTAAAGTGTTAAAACTTTAATGGATCCGAGAAATTAATTGAGATGCACGTATAAAACTTCAATGGATCCGAGAAATTAATTGAGATGCACATAAACTGACTCGAACTCCGATTATTTAAAAAAAAATAAAAAAATTCTAACACTTAAGCTAGCTTGTATATATAGCTTTGGCCACTAACACTACCATGTTTCTTTTTTAGTACTTTGAGATGGCTGATGAATGATTCTCATATTTGACGGTCTACGTATTACCGTAAACATAGTAATCATTAATCAAAGTGAATTAACGACTTCCGTTAAGTGTGTTAACTGTTAACACCTTCCGTTTATGGACCTTTCCAGCTCTTCACTGTACTAGGCCCTCGTACTTTTCTGTTTTATATGATGCACCCAAATTCCTTATATTTACAATATGATCCTTCTATCTTTTAAAAAACCAGAAAATAATTTTTTTGTAACATTTGAGTCCCTCTTTTGGAAAATAATCATCGCTTGCGCTCTTCCGTCGTGGTTATGCCCATCTTATCTTTCATTTTGGGTTAGTATTTTACTATTTTAACTCAAATTTTTTTATATAAATTATTTAAATTAATTGTCTTCTTTATTTTATTATTAATAGTTGCCTTTAATTTTTTTCTTAAAAAAAATTACCTCTTCACCTTAATTGTGGACGGAATTAAATTTTAAAACCTCGTATACAATCCTTAAAAAATCCAGTTGATTGATCTACTTAGTACTTAATACTAACCATAAATTTCTTTTTTAAGTCCAACAATACACCCAATTTAATTAGATTAGATCTAATAATTACAATTCAATAATATTACTCTTCCGAAAAACCATATGGTGACGATATGAAATTTGAGATAAGTATTATTAGATTTAGTTTGAGAATTTTGTAGCTTATTCCATAATTACTTATTGAAACTTTATAAATAATTTATAAGGGATTTGTTTTATTTAATTTTAAAATTACTTTTAATTTTAGGAAAAAAAATAGTATAAATACAAAAAGATCACAATGGGTAATTTTTAACTAAGTTTTGTGTTATTTTTAAAATATGTTAAAATTTCTTAAATAGAAAAGTTTAACAAAAACTAGCCGAGGAATCACAAGCCATTTGCATGAGATAATGCCCAGCAAGGCAGCAAACTTCTGTCGACGAGTGAGATAGGACACTTGGACGGTTGAAATCGTTGGTTGGCGATATATTCGATATGACTATAGTTTGACCCGGTCATGATATGTACATTTAAAAAAAAGAATAATACTATGTGCATTAACTAATTTGTACTAATCAAGTATTAATATTAAAAATTAAAATTTTTTTTTGAGAAATTTTAAATTTTCAATGTTAATATTTGGATTAGTACAAATTGGTTAATGCACATAACATTACTCTTAAAAAAATTATCATGTCGCTTGATATAAAGGAACTTATAAGCAGGGGCGGATGCAATACTAGTTGAGGGTGGTCCACCCTTCTTTTTTTTTTAAATATTAATATGTACAATTTCTAGAATTTGGCCCACCCTAACAAAAATATTAATGTGTAATTAGTTTTGATTTTGACCAACCTTAACAAAAAAATTTAGATCCGCCCTACTTATAAGATATTATAAAGTTGTAGCATTAGGTGCTGCTTTTTTTTTTTTTTTAATCACAAAAAAATGAATTGGTTTATAAACTGAAGATGAATGGTTGAATATAAATAATATGTTTAGTTTTAGTTTTTTATAGTTGGATTATAAGTGTTGAGTTGTTTGCTTTTACAATAAAAATATATGAATAGTAATTTTATAGTAAGAGCATCCGTATATAAATTTTGTGAGGATAATGTTGGAATATTATTAGATTCATCAACGTTAGAGTGAAATGATATTTTACAAATGAATCCAACAGTATTGAAGTATGATACTTTCAAATGTATATAAGGATGTCCCTATTAAAGAATTGTTGAATGTATTAATTTCTATCATTTTTCAAGTACAATAAAACCTCTTTACATTGATACTTTATATAGGAATAACTTCTATACAGTCATAAAAAATTATGGTCCTAACTTGGGCCAATTATTGTTAGGGTAGCTACACTAGAGTCAATCTTATTGTAGTAATTGACTATTTGTAAAACATGTTAATATTAATATAAGGTATCACAGTATTATGTAAATCATATTTCACATATGTTATAATACATGTCTTTAGAATGGTGGAACTATGACGAGGGAATCAAGTGATAATAAGTCTTGATTGTGAGATCCTTGTGAGCATATTTGGTGGTCATTCTAAAAACGTCTATAGCCTTAGTATTATCCTAAAGTAACGGTATAGATAATACGATAAGGCTATCATAGCGTTTAACGACCCTATCAAAAAATAGTAACAGATATTACATGTTGAAGTTGTTTGGTGACAACTTGGTGCAACGCATTAGTGCTTGCAGTTGGCAAGTTCACTAGATGGATCCACTAGAGGATTCCATACAGATGGTAACCCCAATGTCTATGGAATATATCCTCTAACATATGGTGGTGTATATGATCCTTAGACTTGAGATCACCAAACCGTCGTGTGTAAATATCGATGTAGTTTGATGCTAACCTAACGTAGTCCTATTTAGGGTTATCAGTACATGAGTAATTGACTACATTGAGAAGTACACTATGGCTATGGTGGATCGACATATGATTCATCACTCTTGGATACAGGAGAATTTATGTCGTTAAGTAATTTGGTAAATGACAACAACCCAAAACTATTACCACAATGAAATTGAGTAGGTGCTCAAGTTCAATTTTATCAAGTCATTAGTTTGATTACCGAATACAAACATTTCAAGGCAGTATATTTGAAATTGACCTTATTTATGTACTTCAAACCTTGATAAGATAATAGATGATGAAAATATTTGATTGCACAGTAACCATACCGTTAACATTTAGCTAATATGCTGAATCCGAATCTATTAGGTGGCCATGATGCTTGGTTAGAGGTCAATATGAGTCGATGTGTAATGAGACAATTTATTAAGTGTCAATTGCGATATTACCCACTACCAATAAGATAAGAAGTCCATGGGTCACACACTGCCGATAAGATAAGGAGTCCACGAGTCACACACTTAAAAGACAAATAAAAGAAGATTTTGAATAAGGGCACTTTCGGTATTTCAGGGCGAAGGGGTATTTTGTTAAATCTTACAATGCGATTAAATTTGTTGGAAGATTCTCGCGTTAATATTGGATTTAATTTTTAAGATTACATATTTATTTCAATATATATATTGGTGTATATATATATTTTTTAATGAATAAATTATCATTATTTAAATTTATATACTATTGTATATACATTTTAAATAGTAAATTGTTATTGAATAATAATAAAATACCAAACCGACTTTTTTGGGGGCCCTAAGTAAAGTTTAATTATTTACTTATAAATAATGAATATTAGTGAGAAATATTCTTGGAATATGTCAAAGGAATATTAGGGTTAGGGTTTGCCTATAAAAAGGGGCCTTGACCCTTATTTCATTCTCTTATCTTACCTCCCAAGTTAAAAAAGTTGTTGAGAGAAATTTTCTTTTAGAAAATTTTCATCTTTGAACCTCTACCGTCAAATTAGCAAATTGATCATGTGGGAATTCTTGTCTTTGTGTGGATTACCGCTCGTTTACTTCTCCTCTTAAAGTGGTAGCGTTTTCTACAACCAAAATCGAAGAAGCCTCCAATCAAAGGTATGATTATAACGAATGGTCAATCTTATACATATATTTGTTTTGAATGAGTTATTAACATCAATTTATAATCCTGGATTATGTGTTTCGAATAAATTTTTTGTTTATTATTTCGCACTTTATTCGATTAAACCTTATAGTTATTAATAAGAATAAACTCCACATTGTAATAAGTTATAATTTGTTTAGGTCTCGTTTTAAGGAATTTGCCTCCAATAGTAATAATTATATGTATTAACTTTCATTTTACATAACTCAACACAAATATTTTCGATCAATCGAGTCGTGTATTAACTTTTGGTGGCATGGTTGATTTGCTAGAGGAAGAAGGAAATGTATCACTTGAATTGGTTGAAGATTGCATGGGTTGCGTTATAGTCCAATGTATTTATAAAATTTACAGTGAGAGAAAAACATTAAAAAGAATGCAAAATTTTAGACTTTTAAGATAACTTTATATATTCCCAATACAACATAGATACATGTACTAGTTTTTTTAAATTATGTTGTCTCTTTTATTAATATCTATACCTCGGATTTGATATACTCCATTAATTAATTATAGAGGTGGGAATTAGGCTTGGACCTAAAAAGTCCAACCCAAAAAAACCGGTCCTAGGACCAGACTAGGCCAAAGGGAGGAGGGCCTGGGCCTAGGGCCGATTCCTCCTCTGATCATAGGCTCGGGCCCAAACCCCCTCTCCAATTTCCTTTTAACCCCTGTAAAATATCCAAAACCCTCTATTTAATATGAAATTGACAATAAACGTAAGAGTTAAAATAAAATTTTATAAAAAAATTGTCCAAGCCCATAGGACCAGTCTTGGGCCCATGACCCGTCCCTGATTATTTGGGCTTGGGCCCTCAAGGACCAGACCCAAATTGGGCCCGAACCTTGAAGGGACGACTAGGCTTGGGCTTTTCCCACCTCTAATTAATTATTAATGTAGTGCATACTTTATCTCTATGCTACACCTCTGTTAAGTTATAATCTCTTTATAGTAATAAAATTGTTTGGTCTCACCATTATGATTATACAAAGGTTGTATTATATTAACTTTTATCAAACAATGAAATTACTGACTTACATTATATAATGTTGCCTTTTTGTGACACCCTTTAGATCACAAGTGAACAACACTTTGAATCATAGTCTTTGAGCTATTGTGATATTACCTCTTTGTGATAGCCCTTAGATCGTGAGAGATCAACTCTTGAACTATAATCTAAGGGTTATTAACAAGATAACTTTATCACCATTGGATCTATGATTAGTTAACGTTGAATCATTAGATCTGTAATTGTTATATTAAGATTTTGAAAAAAAAAAAAACAAAAAAACTAGATAAGGAATTGATTAACACACAGGAGGAATAAAACACACAAAGTTTTGAAGTCGAAGTGATTTTATATATGAATAATGATTGAATAGAATAATATGATAAATGAAAAATAGGGTCTTATTGTTTATAAAATGGGTTGGTTGATTTTCAAAAGACAACCATACATAATAAATATATAATTTTTAATTTCCAAAAATATCCCTTTCACAATCACAATCACAATCAAAATCCCTAACTCAAAACTCTACTCAACCCAACCCAAGTTAAACTCTGCCCATAGTCAATAATTAACCAAGGTTAGCCAATCATGACAACTATAAATCAAGGAGATAGTATCCATCTCCGAACCCTATTATACTTTCACCACTCGGTTTTATAAAAAAGACCCAAAGGGAAAAGGGGCTTAAAAAATGAAGTGGAGGAGTTTATAGGGCAAAGAAAGAGAAAAAGCCAAAGTCTAAGGAGGTCTTCACGGAAGGTCTCATTCAACTCCAAGCCCCACTCTTAACACACCCAATTTTCTACCCGTCTGGTACGTTTTCTTTTTTTCATTTCTTTTTTCATTTTTTCTTTTACTTCAACAATGACAAAAACGATAAACCCAAAACAAAATCAATAATGCAATAATACAACTCTATTTGATATTGAACACCAGGGTCTGTATCTGTTCAAAACTTGAAATATAACCCTCTCTTTTCCCTTTCACACGTTATATTGTGTCTGTAATTACAAAAGAGTGCGCGGGACCTTAAAACGTTTACTGGGTTTTCTTCAAAACCCTAGATTGATTTTTTTCCCGCCAAGACAAACATGACCCAGATGATAATCGTCACTTGTTCGTAAAATGAATCATCTAAAAGACGATTTTCTTTTTAATTCTGTTGGTAATGAAGATGAGAACGACTGTGATGTCCTTTTTATTTTTTAGGTTTTTGATTTTTGTTTGTTTGTTTTGCTAATATGATGCGAAGATTACAAACAAACATAATTTGTTTTTAGGGTTTTGATCTCGAAATCGAAAATCCATGGCAGGGTGGTCGATGGTAGCAAATGGGTCTGTTGTAGATTGCGGCCAAAGAACCTCAAAACAAAAGAATCTCGAGGCAAAAGGACTCGGGATCGATTTTGAACCGTCTTCTGAGGAATCTAAACTCAAATGCAAAAAGCTTCGATTATGTTTTGACCAATTTCTTCGCTTTTTTCTTAAGCAGATCTATGCCCAAGATAGCCTTCGGCCTCTCCCTCCAATGCTTAAAGATGGACAACCTATTGATTTGTTAAAACTCTTTTTGGTTGTGAGAGAGAAAGGTGGATATGATAAAGTTTCGACGTATGGATTGTGGGATTTAGTAGCTAAAGAATCTGGCTTGGGTTTGAGTGCTTCAGTATCTATTAAATTGGTTTATGCTAAGTATTTGGATGCTTTAGAGAGATGGTTAGATAGAGTTGCTGATGATAGAAGAGACTCCAAGAGTAATTCAGTTGATACTGGCTCAAGTTTGAGTGGGTATTTGATGAAGTTAGGAGCAGAGTTTGAAGGTTTTTTATCGGGTTCAAAGAAAACGGATGAGGTGTATCCACATTTGAAAGAATTGGATTTTGAAAATGATGTGAATGTCTGTAGAAATGATCTTAGTATGGTGGTGGAGTCTAAGGGACTTGAAAAATGTATTAATGATGAGGGAACTATGCACATTGGTCCAGTAAAGAGATATGTGGATGCTGTTGAAGTCGTGAAATTTTGTGATGATGGTGAGCTAAAGAGCACAGTTTTCGATTTAGAAGGGGACAAGAATAGCTTTGATTTTGGGGATTCAAGTCTGGATGATGCTGACATAACAAAATGTGCACTGAATTTATCGGATTCAGGAGAACAGTGTAATGATGAGGAGGCGAAGAGTGTGGTGGTGGGGGAATCAGATGGGGGCAAGAACTGTGCTGATAGTGATAAAGATGGTATTGTGATGCTAGATTCGAAATTTGTCGAGGAAAAGGAAGAGAGTTCTAGTTGTCATGAGAAAAAGGAAGAGAGGTCTAGTCGTAAAAGGAAACATGGGTCTACGTGGAAAATGCTGAGTTGGATTACTGGGATTGCCATGAATCCATGCAATTCTGTGGTTGGTTCATTACCTGATAAGTCGAAATGGAAGTCTTATGGAAATGGGGAGTTATGGAAGCAAGTTTTATCTTATCGAGAGGCAGTTTTCTTTAAAAGACATGTTGATTCAAGCGTTGAACAATCTCCTGGTCAGGTATTTGTCTGCTACAAATTTTTGTCAGTGTCAGTTGTAAAGTCAATTGAAAAACACTCTTATCTTTATATAGTGGCTATAGGCTGTGCCTTTCAAGTGCCTTGTTAAGTCATTTCTTTGTTTGGGTTTGTGGTTTTTTTTTAAGGTTGATATGCTATGCTTTATCTTTTTCATGTTTATTTCATAGTTATATCTTTTTGGCATGAGGTTTAAGTTTCTCCTAACACCTTCTTGTTCATATCCTTCAATTGGTGTTTCAATAACTGATGTGCTACTTTGTGACAATAGCATTGCATACGGTTAACTTGTTGATTGCTATGCATTTTGGGAATGCCTAATTTATTGTATATACCTTAGGATTTAATATTATACTGTCAGAATATGGTTTGATTGTGGCTGTTACGGGTTCTTTCTTGTTTACTTTATACAGTCAAGCTTCCTTCCCGTTTGGCACAATTAAGGTATGTTCGTTTATGCACCCAATTCTCTTTTTTTCATTTTTGGTCCTAAAATGTGAAACACTTAGTCGTTTATGTTTTACCATTTTATTTTCAGGAAACAAAGAAACATAAAAAAGGTCATCAATTTTTTTTTTTTTTTTTTTTTTTTTGAAAAAAAGCAAATTCTTTTTTTCTCTCCTAAACAAAATTTACATGAACCTTCCCCGTTTGGCACAATTAAGGGTATGTTCGTTTATGCACCCAATCTCTTGTTTCATTTTTTGGTCCTTCAAATGTGAAACACTTAGTCGTTTATGTTTTCCATTTATTTTCAGGAAACAAAGAAAACTAAAAAAGGTCGTCATTTTTTTTTTTTTTTTTTTTTTTTTTTTTGACAGAGCAAACTCTTTTTTTCTCTCCTAAACAAAATTTACATGAAACTTAAATCTAGATTGCTCTCTACACATGATTTTTTCACTCGATTTACACCATATTCTATTCCATCTCTTTGATCCAATTAAGATCCATTTTGATTATGTTTTGTTGCCAAACATGATTTCAAATTATATTCTTGTAATTTTTAAAATCATTTTCAGACAAACATGTTGAACACATTTTCATTTTCACATTTTCAAAATACTGTTATCAAACAAACATGCTAAACACCATTATTATTATTATTATTTTTTTTTTTTGTGGATCAAACCTTTTTAATATTTCAAAAAACACTATGAATTTCTAAAAGAGCACATCCTAATGGATTTTATTAATAAAGAGGTTGTCTTGATCTATTATAGTTGCTTTCCATATCCCACTGGAGCCCTTAAGTTCATGATAATTTGAACTTTCACTGATAATGTCAATTTTTAAGTTATTGTTTAGTAGGAAATCACATCAACAGGTGTTCCTGTAATTCTCTTTTCATTGTCCTCTCTTTTTTTTTGTTGTTGGGAGCAGTAGGATAGAGGAGGTGAGTGTTTGGTGCTTGTGGTAATGAATTTTGTGTTGGAATTGCTTGCAGCTGCCAACTGAATTTTTGTGAACATAAATGAGATTTGGGTTTCTCCACTATGTATATGCTGACTTGTGTTTAGGTTTATGTTTAACAGACGTATTATAGAACTTTATCTCCATTTATTTACAATTATGAGTTGAATAAGTTTTCCATTTTTTAGAAAAATCAGAAGATGCACCCTTGCTTGTATGATGATCATGCTGCATCCAGTTACAATCTCAGAGAAAGGTTAAACTGCAGCCAGAAGCACCTTTTAGGAAAAACATCTCAAGCACAGGCTTGTTCACAGTCACTCTCCACAGGTGGCCAGAATGGCTCAAGCAAGGGAGGGATGGAAAATCGTGCTGACAAAGAATTGCTTCAATGCACTGATTCCTCAACTAGACTTTCAGTGTTTGACTATGACGTTGAGAAACCAATTCCTATAGGACCAGGTTTTCAAGCTGAAGTTCCAGAATGGACTGGTGTGCCTTCTGAAAGTGACGTTAAGTGGTTAGGGACTCGGGTTTGGCCACTGGAAAAGGTAGAACATAGATTTTTAATTGAAAGGGATCGTATCGGAAAGGGAAGACAAGATTCGTGTGGTTGTCAGTTCCCAGCATCTATTGAATGTGTTAGATTTCATATTGCTGAGAAAAGGTACAGACTGAAACTTGAACTGTCTTCAGCTTTTCACAAATGGAAAATTGATAAGATGGGTGAAGAAGTTATGCTTTCTTGGACTGAGCAAGAACAGAAAAAGTTCAAGAATATAGTGAGATTAAATCCTCCATCTCTTGATAAGTGTTTCTGGGACCAGATATTCAAGTTTTTTCCAGCCAAAAGCAGGGAAGAACTCGTGAGCTACTACTTTAATGTCTTCCTTCTGCAGCGCAGAGCACTCCAAAATAGGTCCAACTCGGAAGAAGTCGACAGTGATGATGATTATGAATCAGAATTAGTAACTAACAGTTTTGTGCATGAAACAATGAAGTCGGCAAGCTCCATCTTTCATTCCCCCAACAAGAAGCATAAAAGATCCAGATAGTACTTGAAAGATGAGGGGATGGAAGCTTGTAAAGTCTGTCAATTTTTGTGTTTTGTTTTGTGGTCATTTTGGATAGTTGTTTTGGTATTCCACTGGAAGAAAGTGATTTAAAATTTGCCAGTTAAGGGGTAATTTTGAAGACAGTTATTGAAAGCTACGGTGGTGGTGGGGGCAGCCAACTGTAAAGCTCAAGCAACTTGATGGGTGTTGAAATGGCTTTTGGTTAGTAGGCTCAGTTTTGAGATATATACATTCACTGTATTTTCCCAACCTAAAAATATGTTGTACTCTTGTCCTTTATTAATTTTCCAAATGGTCTTCACAGCGGGGCTGAATTAATATAGTGAGGAGCCAATAGGCTGGAGAGGAGATGGATGGAACCATCAGTACTTCTAGATTTCAAATTGTAGCAATGCCTTTTCTACGGGAAAGAAATCCCTTGAGTACTAGTTTTAAAAATGGTGACGTGTCATTATTCAATAGCATTAGTAGATAACACACTTTAATCTTTGTAAATAAACACTACAACTCGTGCGTTACAGGAGGTTTCTTCATTTATTTATAAGGAAAATGCCCTTTGCTCTTTAGGGTGCTTTCAGAAATCATGGGGTTATATTTTTTTCTTAATTGAAGGCGTCTATAAATGTATAACGACAAAATGGGCTGCACAAAGTTGGTAGAGAAAGAGACCCTTCATCTCTATTAACAATTTTAGATGATTAAATTATATATTATTTAAAATTAAATCTTTTCTTTCTTGAATAATTTTTAAAACTGTTTTTTGTACACTAACAAGCAGTCTTTGGGTGGCATCAATCATCTCTTCTGACCACAATTTGAATAAATATCTGCCTAAAATCTATATGTAACAAATAGCCATATTAAACATAAAAATACCACCAAATATACTTGGAACATGCCCATTAAATATTCTGTTTGTGATTTGGAAAAGAAGTCTTACGCAGACACGAAATACGGTTGAATTTACATAATATAAGCCGCACACGTCTTTGCTAAGTTAATTTGTTCAAAATCCTCACCCGCCCATTGATTGTTAAAAAGACCTGGTAATTATTGTAATATTTAATCGCCGACATAAAATTTAATCACTAGATTGGATTGGAAAGAATCTTTGAAATTGTAAGGAGGACAATAATGGATGATGCTGATTAATTAAATTATTCAGGGGCCTTATGGAAATATTTATTATTACAATGTACTAATATTACTACAGTATATCAGTCAACAAGAATCTTGTAGGGATTAACATGATAATAATGTATTATTGAGGGTCGTAATTGAATTTTTATTCCACTGTTAATTGTTGTATTAGTTACATCTCCACATTTATGTCAGAACTATTTTTGCTTATCCCAGTCGCACAAGCTTCTAGCTAACTTGTGTGACCTCTTCATTTCTCTATAATTCTCTTTGAAACCCAAGAAGGAAAACCGGAAAAAGGGAAATCATGTCTTCACCAAGCAAACGACGGGAGATGGACTTGATGAAACTGTTAATAATCATCTATTAGTTTTTTTTTTTTTTTTTTTTTTGGTTGTTGTTGAAGGTTCGTCTTTTTGATTTTGCTAGCTTTTCCTCTGTTTTTTTTATTTTAATTTTGATAGGATGATGAGTGATTACAAGGTAGAGATGATCAATGATGGCATGCAAGAGTTCTATGTACATTTTCATGGACCTAATGAGAGTAAATTTTCTATACCCATGTCTTTGTTTTATGATTTCTTTCATTTTTGGCTGTTTTATAAGAAATCTTGAGCTTTGTGTGGAAGTTGCTTTTGTGGTATATGCTTATTTTCTAGATTTACAACAAAGTTGACCTTCTATCTCTCCCGGACTTGTAGCTTCAGAGATGCTTTTTTTAGTTAATTGATTCATTATTTTATGTAATTAATAGAATCTTAGTACTTGTATAGATTTTACTTATAAATAGCAAAGTATTGAGTTTGTTCTTAATATCCATGTTTTATCCTGCGGACTTCAACCACTTGTGCCCTGTAAATTTTTTAAGAAATTGGATACTCCTACTCGGGTGCTTTTTCGAGCCGCTGATTTGATGTAAACTCATTATTTGAATTGGTTTCAATAAGTTTCATACTTATTTACGGTATTTTTGGTTCTGAGCAACATGAATTTTTTCTTCTCTAATCTATTGAAGCTTAATTGTTTAATTCTTGGTTTAGTACTCAACTTTTCCAGTGAATTGGTTACTTTTTTAATGAAAAAAAGGAAAATGGGCAGGTCCTTATCATGGAGGCATATGGAGGATAAAAGTGGAGCTACCGGATGCTTATCCATATAAATCTCCCTCTATAGGCTTTGTTAATAAGATCTACCATCCAAATATTGATGAGTTGTGAGTTACTAAATACTTCAATTTCAAATCTGTAATTTTCTATTTTGGTAGTACATTACATTTATCTGGTTAATGAGAACTATGTGTAAGTTTTGGTTATCTTGGTGCATATTAATTTCAGGTCTGGCTCTGTTTGTTTAGATGTTATTAATCAGACTTGGAGCCCCATGTTTGGTAATAATCGATACAATTTCAGTTTGATTCAAAGTTGCTTACCAGCCGTAGCGATTTCTTATGCTATTAGACCATTATATTTCAGATCTGGTTAATGTGTTTGAAGTATTTCTGCCACAACTTCTTCTGTATCCCAACCCTTCAGACCCATTGAATGGAGAAGCTGCAGCGCTGATGATGCGAGATCGACCTGCTTATGAACAAAGAGTTAAAGGTAGTGATTTTCTCAAGTTTTAGGGTTCTGAATATGCATTCTTTGCGATTTCAATAAGACTGCACCAATATACTACTGTAGTTATCCTTCGATGTATGCTACATCTGTTTCTTATAAGGTTTTTTACTTGATTTGTTATAAATTTGAAGTATGATTGTGCGTTCCTTGCTATCCATTTTCTGCAATAAATTTGATATGCAGGTGGTTGTGACATCTGCTAATGGTCTACACGACTAGATGGCATTTTTTTTTGTTAAAGAAATTAATTTAACGTCTATATATCAGTCATGGAACCACTGCAGTGTGCAGTTTTCTCCATACAGGACCGTTCTTAGTGATATTGATATTTATTTATGTTATGAAGATGTAGTTTATGAATGTCTTACTAATATTTAGCTTTTGCTTTGCAATTGTGCCAAAAAAAATGTTGCTGTTTCGTCTAGAGTTCTGTGAGAAATATGCCCGGCTAGAAGATATAGAAGCCACCCCAGAAGAGAACTCGAGTGATGAGGAGATGAGTGAAGACGAATATAATTCAAGCGATGAGGCTGTGGCAGGCCAAGGTGACCCCTAGTAGTTCATCATGTCCATAATGATTGTTTTGTACATTCTTCTTTTTAACTTTGTTAGATCAATCTCAACTTGCTTGTAAAAATAAAATATTCAATCCCAGCTGAATGCAGTAGGGAAAGTTCTTTAGCCCGGCCTGTACTAGTTGTGTGCCAATAGACTCAATAGTCAATACTATAATTTGTAAATACTCGAACAAATTCTCTCTTTTTTATTAGCTATGTTCTGTGAATGCATAAACTGAAGTTGCAATATTTTATTTGCGCATTTGTTAGAGGATGCAAATACACGACATGTGGTAGTTCGGTTTCGCTCTGAGGCAAAATCATAACACTATTTCAGATCAGTTACACTATGAAAAGCAATTAAAGCAGATCCCACAAAAATCAAAGAGAGATTTGCCTGCCCGTTTTCTTCCACCGAGTAACATCGACGTCAAAACGACAGACATCTTAAGGTACACACTTTACAAAGATTTGTGGTATCATGAGGCGGTTATGAAAAGCTACTGATTTTCAATAATGGAGGAACAGGTATACAATGGCGAACCAAATATCTAAACTATATTAACAGTAAGGACTAACTGAACTTGAGGCCTGCGAGGACCGGTTATACACTGCGCTTTCAACTCAATAACAACAATTTTTTAATTTCTTTCATTAAAATGATACACTACCCCTTGAGTAAAATCATAATTGACTTGGCCTCCTTTTACCGGTATCTGTCCTCAATCTCTTCACAGGATTAGCCCAACCAACATTGCCACCACTACCATTTGGCGGTTGACCAGCCTGATTGGCCCACCCTTGTTGGGTAGATTGTTGATTCTGCCGTATATTATCCTTGGGAATTGAACCTGGACCTTTCATGTTACGACCCAAGCTTGGGGGTGAGACGGGGCCAGCCGGACCAGTCCTTGGCTTCACGACTGACTTTTCCCGGTCTTTCCTTTTCTTCTTGCAGATAACCAGCTCTCCGGGATGTGGAGAATCATCGTGCTTGAATTGCTCCCGGCTACTGCCAATTCCACTTCCAAGCCTTGAATCCTTCTGAGGCACGTGCACTCTAATCCTAGTGTTGTCTTCACTGACAGGAATAGAGCCTCGTTGTAGTGGCTTCTGGGAAGGGCTAGGACCAGGTTCCATCTCATTTATCATCTTGTGTCTCTTGCTCTGGCCAGCAGCTACCTGTCTTGGGGCTGGAGCAGAGATAGAGGTAGATGCGGGACCAGAGAAAGTAAGTGCATTTCTGGCTTCTCGTAAATCTGTATCCGGAAATGCAATCTTCAATATATCAAAAAATAGATCGTGTACTTTCCTTGCTTCAGATCTAACCTGCACAGCATAATAATATGTTCAGATGCAATAAGGCTGAAAATACTTTAGCTAGAGATAGCAAATGGAGAACTACGAGAATTTATTGCAGGTCAGTGGGAGATCCGTGAAATCACAAGAAGAATAATTTTTAAATTTTACTGGGAAACAAGGACAAGCAAATGGTGGCGTGACTTGGAAGCAACTTTGTTGAGTTAAAAAAAAAAAAATTGAATTTTAATGGCCACAGATATTGAGGTGTGATTCTAATTTAGACGCTCAAGATGAGGATTGAGGAACCATACCTCATGTGAGAAGCCATAAAATTGCATTGCACCCTTTAACATAAGCTGCACATCAGACACCAGCTCCATCACCCCATTATACTCTACTCTGTCAACCCGCTGATCAATCTTCCGTAAATCCAAAAGATTATTTCCACCTCCACTCATGTAACCAGAATTTTCAATCCTTTTCCACAAATCTGTTAGCAGAGGTACAATTTGATGTCCTTCCTTATCAATTCTCCTTTGGAGCTTACTAATTACATTTTTGCACTGCAGACATGAGATTTCAGGTCATTTCACAAAATAAACAGCATGATCAGTAATAGGCAAGTAAGGAAAAGAAGGAAAGCAGCGGAAAAAGGGTCAAAAGTCAACAGATTAAGGGAAATTATTTTTAATCCCCTTCCACCAACTTGGAATTATTGCATAGAAAAGACATAAGAGCCAATGGTAAAAGGATGCTATATGTCACACAGCAATCAACAATATCAATCAAAGTATGTTACATGTCACACAGCAATCAACATATCAAGCAACACATTCAACAGGGAACAGCTGAGTGAATTAAAAAGGCCAAGTATGGCTAAAGATGTAAGGTAGGAACAACAATCATGCAGATCACAAAAAAAAATATCAACAATATAGAAACAGAGAAGCAAGTCTGTAGGAAAAAGAAATAGACACTAAGACCCAGAGGAGCAAATTATAGACAATACCTACCACTTAATGAACCAGATAATAGCAAAAATACAGTACATACCCTTCTCTGGATAACATCAGACATCTTAGTGCCAAAATTTGAAGACCCACCGGCGTTCATAACTTTACCATCCCAACTTTCTCTGCCGTGATCAGCAGCATCTTCTGCAGGACCAGATAGAGAATTCAATCGGCCAGATTTCGGTGAAGCACGCAACTTTGGGGCATTAGCTATTTTCCTTGAAGGTAGGTTCCGCCTACTTTTTGAAGATGACTCACTTTGATCATGCTTGGAAGAATTGAGCTCACCATGTGTTTTCATTTCAGTATCAGTCCTTAACTGTGCTTGATATTTATGGTCCATCTGGAATGGCAAGAGAGAAGGTGCCTCATTGCAAGGCTTCTCTTCCTGCCTTTCAACAGTGTGACGAGGCCGAACTCGAATACTACGCTTTCGTTTTATCTTGGGTTGCAAGACCTGCTGTTCATCTTCACCTTCATCACGATCATGAGTCCAACTTCCAGATTGCTGGTGGTCCATGTGAGAATCTCCAGATATTGCAATCTCCCCTTCCTCGAGTTCATCTGGCTGGCAATATTAATGGTACAGAAATAAAAAGATAGGACAAATGTGCTAATCCAATAACAAAGCATCAACGTAAGTATTACACATACCATCCTTTTTGAAAGAGAGCCTGGCCGAGCTTCTAATGCAGACAGAGACCCAAACTTCTGAGAAGAAACTGGAGATACAATCTGTGTCAATCTCCGACTGTCAGAAGATGATCCGGAGGAACCAGCTTCCTCAAGTATAAGGTTGTTCCTTGTGTTCTCTGAAGGCCGGAGATATTCATACCCACCTTCGCAAACTGGACCATCTTCTTCTGATTGATCTTTATTGATTGGTGGCGCCCCAGCAGCACCACTGTCTTCATCATCTTCAAACTCTCCAATTTCTCCCTCTTCTTCATGCACAGAATATCTATTCCTCTCATCAGAACTTGCTTCAGAGTATTCTCCATTTTCATCATCCACTTCCTTGTAGTTTGGATATTTTTTTCCCTTGGGCCCTCTTTTTCTCTCAGTTCCAATTTCACTAGGTTCCACAACACCGATATTGCTACCAAATAAAATATTCTTCGACGGTTTTTTTGATAAACTAGCAATAGCAGCATTCACTTCTTTAGTACTGGTTCGAAGCCACTTTGGTACCTGGTCATACCTGGTCATCTCCTCTATCCAATCCAGCTCTTCATCCATTTGATCAAACAGTTCTACTTCATCTTCACTCCTTGCAATCATTTGATTTACCTCCTGCAGTGATGGAACATCATGAACAGTTTCTTGATACCTCTCCTCATCATGCAATAATGTCTCCAAAGTCATGCGTCTCTCTTCATGGGTTGTTCTCTGGTCAAAACGCCCAGCATTGATGACTTCATCAGCCATGTCAATCTTATACTGCTGGATGTTATTCCTTATGAGGCTTTCAATAGATCCCATATATCGATCCTTACCTGCAAAGTCATCTTCTAAATCAACCATACCACCGCTTCTGAATTCATCCTCTTTCTGATGACTGGGAATTTTGTCAACAACTGCTTCCATATAAATGACCTTAACTTCTCTTGTCTGTCCAATGCGGTGGGCTCTAGCAACTGCTTGTTCCTCGTTTTTAGGGTTTGGATCAGGATCATATATGATGACAGTATCAGCAGATTGAAGATTAAGACCTCGTCCAGCAGCACGAATACTCAGCAAGAATATAAAGCAGTCAGAATCATGGCTATTAAAGTCCACGATAGCTGATTCACGGTCTTCTAAACTAGTAGTTCCATCAATTCGTCTGTACAAAAGTTGCCTCCACTGCAAATATTCCTCCAGGATATCAAGGAGTTTTGTCATGGTACTAAAGAGCAGTACTCGATGCCCGGTTCTTTGAAGTTTTATAAGGATCCTATCAAGGACCCACAGCTTCCCACATGATTTCACAAGAAAATCTTTGGATAAGTCATTATAATATGGGTAATTAAGAAGAGGATGATTGCAAGTTTTCCGAAGCTCCATACATCTATTATTTAGAGTTTTATACACCTTAGCCTGGTATAGTGGATTTTTTTGCACCCTGAGCTTCTCGTCTTCAGGATCAACTCGAAGAGTACCAGTTGATTTAATCCAATCATAAATAGAACTCTGAATAGCAGACATTTTACATCTTAAAACTATGGAGACCTGCGGTCCAGAAATAGTATCGGGAATCAGAAAAATATAAAAGGAAATGACTAACTGCAATTGCTATAATAGCATACCTTGGGTGGAAGTGAACCTTCCACATCCTCAACACGACGTCTGAGCATAAAAGGCTCCAAAATTTGATGAAGTCGATGGATGATAATGACCTTCTTCTCAGTCTCAAGCCAGTCATCCTCTGCATTGTGGGTAGGACCTTCCTTTTGAAATGGTTGTGAGAACCAATCATGAAATGCTTTCCGGTTATCAAACACTTCAGGAAGAAGTAGATTTAAAAGTGACCAAAGTTCCTTCAAATCATTCTGCAAAATAAAAACACTTCATGCTCAGTTAAACAAATTGAGTACATTAAAAGATATAATCAGTCAGTCAGTTCCTTAAGAGCCAATCAAAAATTAACATTGAGGAATTTTAAACAATTCAACCATAATTTTTCTTTTTGTTACAATTTTAAAAAAGTCACTTCAACGCCATTTATATCTTCCCCAGAATTATTGACTATAAATAATCACCAGAGCAGACAACTATGGAACCTTTTTGCATATACATACTCAAAGAAAGCCTATTGTTGGATATCATGTCAATTCACAGAACACAGCAGGTAATTGAAAATGAAGCCACAAGAAAGCCTTTTTATTTTTTTAAAGGTGAATAATAGCAAAATTCGTAACTAGGGAGATCACACATTCATTACTAGAACATATCTCTTTCCCTTTACATACCTGTAAAGGTGTCCCTGTAAGAAGTAAGCGCCTCTGGCAGCGGTATCTATCAAGATCTCGGGCCAAAACTGATTCTCTGTCTTTCATTCGCTGTGCTTCATCAATTATGATATACTTCCAATCAATTTTTGAAAGTTTTGCGCGATCATACATGATGAACTCATAAGTTGTCACAAGTACATTAAATTTCAGGGCACAGACCTCCTACAAAAAAGTAGCACAAAATAAACATCAACTAAACAGAATCTCCAATAACAATATGTACGCAAATATATGCCACTTACCTGAGAAAATAATTTTGACCGTTGATCCTTTCCACCAACATAGTAAATGCATGACACTGATGGCAGCCAAGTATGTAGCTCACTCTGCCACGGGAACACGGTTAGCCACTTTGGAAAAAAGAATTAGAAATGGTCATAGCCATAATGCAATGAAAAGAAACCAACCTTCCAGTTTACCAAAACAGCATTAGGGACAATTATTAGATGTGGGCCATAGTTCCCTTTAAATTCCATCAAATAAGCAATCAATGCCATAACCTGCACAGAAAATAAAATATCAGAAAAGGTACTTGTATCAACACATTATGTTTTACTCTCCTTGCATCAGACGGGGAGAATTTCTAATGTTATCCAAGTACCGTATCAGTCAGACTAAGTAACTACATTCGGAAAGATGCTAACATATATGAACAAACAGATGAAGACATATGAAACTGCTATGTCCCCCAATATTACAAATATAAGATATTTCCTGTTATCTCCTCTTTTAAGAAAGGATTTCTACCACTGATCCTAACAAAAAATCACCTGCACAGTCTTTCCAAGACCCATCTCATCCGCCAATATTCCATTCAATTTGTTGTTATACAAAGAAAGCATCCACTGCAACCCAACCTGCCAAATAAAACATAAAAAAGGCTTAAAATAATAATATGAAACAAAAGATAGTTAAACAGAGGGCAAACACAGAGAAATAAAAAAAATATTAAACAGCAACCTACAAGCTGATAATCTCGTAAGGTTCCAGCTCGTAACATTGAGGGTTGCCTTGCAACCCTTTCACTCACAGCATGTGCAAGACTATAATACCTGGGGAAAACCATCAAGATAAACATAAGGAACGACAAAATAAGAAAACTACTATGCATGGTACAAGTATTAAAGATAAAGCTGACTTTAGAGTTAAAATGAAAAATAAAATATATTAAACAATATGAAAACACAACTAATATAAAACTATAAACTGTTATTGCATATAATAGACATATTCTAAATCCATGGCTAGCACAAAACTTCCATCTCATGGAGCTGACAATTCTTCTGGCAATGCATTTTAACTCCATCCTGAATCTATCATATATGAAAAAACTTTTTGAAGCAAGTAATTCAACAGAGGACTTACTTGTTAACAGATGAACTATCCCTGGGTGCATTCATTTCCATAAATCGATTTCTGATCATCACTTCCTCACCAGCACAAGCTGCTGCTGCCCTAACTTCTTCTTCTGAAAGACCCTTTTGTGAGCAAATAAAAAAGGAATGAGTTAGTAATATAAGAAAAAATCAAATAAGGGGTAAAATAAATTCCATAGATTCATCATTCATGGCATGGGTGCTATGAGGGTTTGGGAGGCTAAAACTTAACAACTAAAAGGGTGTGGAAGAGACAGAGAGAGAATGAAATGTGATTAAAACATGCCTGCAATCTTGCAGCAGCTGCAGCAGCATTTGCTGCCTCTTCCACTTCCTGCTGATTCTTGGCAGCAGTTATTTTACTTCCCAGTTTGTAAAGATACTCTTCTGTCTGAGTCAAGAATGAAGAGAGAACAGCATATCTCTCCGCAGCTTCACCTGGGATACTAGTCTGCTGCTCCAGCAACATCTCCCTATACCTTTCGACATCATTATTCTTCAAGGCTTCCATCCTTTTGTTCCGGTCATCATCCTTTCTTTTAGAGAACTCCCTCAACATTCTCTCATGGTACTTTGCAACTCCCCGGTTACGGGCAGTCCGTGCATCACGGATGGCCCAGTGAGTCTCAAGAAGTTTCTTACGCCACTGAGAGATCGATTTTAATTGCTTCTCTCTCATGGCTTTCTGAGAGGTTTGCACTTGTCTCATCAGCTCAATGCGTTGACGCTCACACAGCCGGACAAATTTACGGTATGGTCTATCAGGCATTGTCATTATCTCCTGCTGCTGTTGGTCGACTTCATCCCTTAAGCGTGCCTGTAGGTCTAAGAGTCGAAGCTTTTTTTCTTCAATCTGCAATCGCAGAACAAGATCGGGCCTAATCCTTTTCCTCTCTAAGTTTACTGCAAGTATACCACTGATCTTCTTCAAATTCTCTGATCTTTTCTTATGCAGGACTTCCACTCCTTCGTCAAAAAGAAGATCTTTGACATCGTAAGCCAATGTTAGATTATTATTACTGTTAACCATTGTAGTCGACCCAACTGAATCATGTTTCCTTGTGAAAAAGGGAAAATCAAAAAGCGGACCATGATACTTTCTGGCAGAGCCAACATCTTTTGGCTGAGAGGCAGTGGTCGCTTGTGCAGGCTTCTTAATTTGCATTGCATCAGACACTGCTGCCTGTGGCACAACAGACTTTCCTCTATCTGCAGTAAATTCACTTCTTACAGGAGCTTTCTGAAGACTACGATCGACTTCCTGGTCCGACTTAACAGGGTTTTGCTGCTCTTCTTTCCCAGTAGCTACCACTGGTGCAGGTTCCTTGATCACAGTAGGCATACCTTGCACGTGAACTGCTGACATAATTGTTTTATCATCTCCTGCATAAGATTCCTCTTTCATGTAATTTTGTCCATTTATTGATGGAGCAGACTGTGAATCCTTTCCGTTAGGCTCTACATGTCTCAATTGATCGTCTACCATCTTTCCAGAAGATCTTTCCTGATTATTTACTGGTGCAGGAAGAAACTGTTGCTGCTGCTGCAACTCAAGGGTTGGTGGAACAATGGCCCGAAGAAGCTCTTGGGGAAGGTTACCTTCTCCTTTCTGTCAAACAAGCAGACAATTAAAATAGTCCATTCAGCACTTGCTAAGAAGCAAAAATTTGCACTGGTGCTTAGAACACACACAAACACAAGCACACAGAGGAGATAGAGAAAACGAGATTTTTGCACACCTTCAACCGCCGAAATGCCAGAATTTGAGCCTTAAGAACATGAAGTTGGTGTTTCGTGAACCCAAACCGCTGCTGTGGTGTATGGGGAGCCAGGCCACCCTGTGATGAGACATTAACTGAACCTCCATCACCGGAAGGAATTGCAGATTGTGGAGAAGAACGATTTAACTGCCTGAGGTACTGCATTTGAGAAGTTTCTGGGACACCTGAACTTTTTACAGGCAAAGACTGATCCACACCCTGGCTCATGTTTGCAGTCGACTGTGGAGGATGCATAGGAGGCATTCCATTTCCAATGGCAATCGGCTGTCTGGGAGGCACTTGGTTTTCTCTGCTATGAACAGCAAACTGTTGTAGTGAATGACTGTTAGCAGCACCAGCTTTGGAAGTTGAACCAAGAGGGCTTGGGGACACTGTCTGCCTTGCCTTTGCTGATCCAGATTGTCCAGATACATCACTCACTGAATTAGAATGGGGAGAGCTCTCACTAGCAACAGGTGACGAAGTAGCCTGTGGCTTTGAAACAGGGACAGGTGATGATGGTGAACCCATATTGCTTTCATTTGCTTTCTGTTGAGCAGCTATTCTAGACTGCATCAGAGGAATGAGCTGCGCCATCAAGTTGGCATTTGCAGGTTGTGACAGATCAATATTTCGCTCAAGTGCCCATGCCTGCAACTGAGCAGCCATCGCATACTGGTTGTTAGCCACATTTTGGACATTTTGCTGAGCCTGTGCTGCCTGTATAGGCCTTATCATATTGGCGGTCATTAATTGCCCACCAATACTGTTCTGACTTTGAGGTTTTGGCTCATTCCTCTGGTCAGAAGCTGGTTGCTGACCTTGGTCCATCTGCTTTTCAACACGGCCAAACTGTTCCGATGAATTTTTGGAGGATGACGCCTGAGCCTGATTGGCTGACTGCATGGAAATCAGTTCCTGCATTTTCAAATTTCCCATCCGCGGATCTTGATCCTTCCCGTATGCAGGACCCAGCATACCCATTTTAGCTTGCTGCTGAGATTGCACAACTGAAGCAGACTTTTGATGGGCCTGGAAAGCATACTGGAGATAAGCCTGATGAACAGGATTTAGAACCTGTTGCTCAATACCTTGACTTCTATTCTGGCCCTCCTGGGATGAATTATGCTGTTGGGCAAAATCAAACAGTTTCCTGGACTGTTGAGACAGTTGCATGGACCCTGGAGATGAAGCAAAGTTCCCCCCTCCCGCTCCCATTACTCCTGGGAGACCACCAACTTGATATGCTAAAATGGCATCATTTCCTTCTGATTTTCGAAGTAATTGTTGTTGGAATGACTGCAAAAACAGTTAGAAAAGTAGAACTCAAAACACATATTTCATATTAGACCCAGATACATTAATGATTGAACAATAAAATTCAACAATGACAAAAAAATATCACCAGCCACACAATGCAGACGAAGAATGAGAACTACAATTATGACAGATATCCACAAGAAAGAATAGAAACAAAAAAAATAAAAATGTTCCAAGTTTGAAGACAATGTAACTATCAAATTCAGATGTATATACATCACACCACATACATTCAATATTTAGGAGAGCTAAAAAAGCATAAAGACATTTCGTGAGAAGTATATAAAAAAATTTCATGGATATCTGAATTTACATAATGATAAGAACCCAAGAAATAAATAATAACAAAAACAATAGTCCAAAACAACAAATGACATGTAGATAGAGATCCACCAAATAAAACAAGGAATAGAAATCAAAACAACATATATAAGGTATAACAACAAGTCCAAAAGATTGTTGCTAGAACATGTAAAGATTGTTGCTAGAACATGTAGAACTGAAATTTATACAATCAGCATTCTTTTATGATCATTGCAATCAATCCCGACACTGAACTCACTGCACTAAGTTTCAACCCTAAACTAATATTTTGATTATTCCATATCTGAATCCATAAACTAATGTTATTTGTGTTCAGAAATACAACTTCTTATAATGGACGAAAACTCCAGCTGGTTGTAACTATGCTCCATATGAGTGTTATTAAGCATAGCACAAGCCCGACTTCCGTTCAGCAGCTCGAAAGTTTAATGCTACACAGTTCACTGTTGGCCTTCCAAAAAACCCAAAAATTTAAAATCCGAAATCAACTGATATAGAACATGTTCTACACTAATCACACCAGAATCATTAATTACAAAAGTTAATTCCAACCCATTTGCCAAAACCCTTTCAATTATGTAACAAAACCCTACCCATTTCCATAAACACTCTCAATTACAAAACCCAAGCGCCAATTTGGCCAAATTCCTTACCTGTCTCTGCTGTTGGTGCTGCTGTTGTTGCTGTTGGTGCTGCTGCTGTTGCACCGAATCAAACCCCAGGTGGGGAGTCGAAACAGCTGAAGATGACGAAGACGGCGACGCCGCAGACGATGTCGATGCTGCCCGGCCCGTCGGGTTCCGGCTGGGCCCACCACCTCCACCCCCTCCGGATTGCATGCAAATTTACAATTTTCACCCCAATTTACAAGAAAAAATAAAATTCAAAAAAAAAAAACCCCACCAAAAATTTCCAACAAAAGATCCCTCCAAATTTTAAAATAACGAAGCACTATTTTTTACCCTACGATCCCAACGTTCAAAAAAAAAAAACGACCCCACTTTTGTTTTGCCCCATTTTCTCTAAAATTGCGATATTTTCGGATGGATCTTTGTAAGGTTGTAACTTTCAAGGAAGATGAGAGTGAACCGAACTCGGAGGAACCCGTGATTCGACTCACTACTTTCTCTATTGGGGGTTTCACGCGATTCGCAAACAAATTTTTTTCAGTCAAACCCTAAGATTTTCTTTAATAAATTTTTTTTTTTTTCCTTATTGGTTTTTTTATGTTAATTTTCTTCTCAGTTTGGTAACAAGTACTCAATGGCTTTATGCACCAACAGGTGGGACCCACTGTATTCGTTAAATTACCAAAAGGGTAGGCCTATTACTTGACCTTTGATTTTGTTATAATTACGGGAGAGTCCCTACTTTCCGAACAAGTAATCTGCTTGTTATTCTAAATAAACAGTGCCAAAAAGTTGGCTTGATTAAACAAATGTTATAAACATAAAAATTTAACCCAATTGTCACCAGAGTTAGAGAGGTCATCCTCCTTATGTGATGTCACAAAAATAAAAATTCTATAAAAAGGAAAAATATATTTAATTTTAACCCGAAGAGATAGTGGTTTAATGTACCCACATCACATGTGATTTATATTACATCAAACTGTTTTTTTTTGTCCTTTTACTTTAAACAGTAGATATTCAATAAAGGAAAAATAATAATTAAAAAAATTCAAGAGGGGTATAACTGTACGTCTACTCAGGGTGGGGCCCACCGGCACTATTGAATTTATATTTTAAATGCTTAGCCAATTACAATATTTGAGAGAGCGTTACAACTTAAACAAGCATTAAATGAGAAAAGATTATCAAATCTCACACAAAGATCCTTACAGTAACCTTTTTTTTTTTTCCTGCACTTTATTGAATTAAACATTAGAAAAAAAAATATATATAATTTTATTAATTAAAAAGAATGCAACATTATATGAATGAATGGATTTTAACTAGTAGGTATCGAGAAATCATCACTTTTTCTTGAATATTATTTTATTTTATAATAAATTAAATTATCCATATTATCTTGTTGATTTTACAGCATCTCCGTGACATAACCCTCGTTTCTCTTTTGTCACAGAAGTGAAGTGACTACATTTTCATGCTTCTCTACACCAATAGTAATGTGACATTTGGGTCTGAGCATGTCATCTGTCTAGTCATTGGTGTTAAATACTTTATGATAGAAACAAGAAAAGAATGATTATTGATAACACTGAACTGCGTAAAAGCTAAACTAAAATCATAGCAAAGTTGGACAAAGAAAAAACACTGAAAATACAGCATTACAAGTAAATGCTTAATTCTAAAAATGGAATATGGGCTGGGCTACGAAAAGCAGATCCATTAAAAGATAGCGAAGCGAAAGCAAAAATTCGCAAAAAAATTCCGACCTGCCGGATTCGAACCAGCGACCTAAGGATGACAGTCTAAACCACTACAGTCCTCCGCTCTACCAACTGAGCTAAGGTCGGTTATTGAAATATTGGGTTCAGATAATTTATTTATAACAATTTTTTCAATCTTAAAATTTTTTTTTTAAATTAAGTTCCATCTATAAAAGATAGTGAAAATACACTCATAATTCTTTAAGAATAAGTTTATTCTTACAAAGAATTATACAAAAAAGCCTACAAAGTAAAGAAAAAAGCAAATAAAAAACGGAAAAAGAGAAAGAAAGAAAGAGAAAAATCATGAAGATCAAGGGTGGGGATTGTCTTTGTATGCCCCCTTTGTATTTGTCTTTCTAAGACTAGCACTTCTTATTTTTTAATTATATATACCCCTATTATAAAAGTTTTTAATACTCTTTTAAAAGAATAATTGATCATTTTAAACGTTTGTATATTTATATTTATACTTTATAGTCTCTCAAAGGGTTAGATAATAATAACTCCACAACCTTTTGATACAATCGAGCATTAGTTAAAGGGTAACTGTTAATGTCATTTCTAAGTTAGAGACTATGATCGATGGGTAATGTAATATATAAATTTGGGGTCATTTGGATCGAGGGTATATAAGATAACGGATGTAATCTTCGTTTATTTTGTAAAATTTATATGTTTGGTTTACAAGTAATAAAATATTACAGTAATCTTTTATTGAAAATAGGGCCCGTTTGGATCAGATTAAAATTTTTTAAGATGGGTAATATTTGTTTAATTGAGCAGATAACTGTGTTTGGCATTTTTGTACAAAAACATTCCCGAAAAATAAGATGACAAACAGTGTCAAAAAGGGAGCAAATTGTCGATAATAATATTACCTGAGGGGGGGCTGTTATTAACACATTACTTCGGTAATCATAATTTTTGTCTAATCTTGCCCCTAAACAATGGATTATGCGGACGGAAATATTCTTTGGTTTATTAATAATTACAAAATAGCCAATTTGCACAAACAGCCGTATTTGTCCTCAGTTTTTTGATTTTCCGGACGAAACTGCCTTGCTTTTTATCATTTTTTTTAAGAAATGCCACGAAGATTGGTGTACCCATATTATCCTTAGATATTTGCATATTATGACCAATATGCGCTTGAACTTCATTAAAACTACAGTATAAAAGAAAAAAAAATTAAAAATCGCACAAACAGGCATTATTTCCTTCTCTGCGTTAAAACTCGTTCGCCGCCGTTGGAGTCTTCTTCTCATCAATCTCGTTCGTCAGTCCGACCGCTATTTTCGGTAAGTCGTTTGCCCTCTTTCCTTTGTATGTGGATTTGTTTGGATTGCAACCCTAAACCCTAACTTGTCCATTTTCTCTTTGTCGTTGGTCCACCATCTCCACCGCAGCAACATCGGGTTTTTGTCGCCCTCTGTTTGCTCCTGACAGCACTGTAATCACGGTTATCGGTAAGTTCGTCGCCTCCTTATGGTGTAGGAAGATTATTAAATTGAGAGGGTTGGTTTGTTTCACTTTAGATAGGGTAATATAGCCGTGGAATAACCAATTTGATGCCGAAATTACATGAAAATAGTTTGAAATGGTAGTAGGGTTTAGGGTTTAATGTCGTGATTTATTGTGTTTGTGTTAGGGTTCTTTTGTTTTTTCTATTTAAGGTTTGGATGTGTGTGTACTTTTTTATGTGTGTTAGGGCTGAAATTGGTAAAACCGTGTGTATGAATTGCATGTTTTGTTATTGTTATGGTTGCAACGTGATTTGTTTGGATGACAATTTCAAACCCTAACTTCTCCATTTTTCCTCTGTCTTTGGTCTAGCATCTACACCACAACAATCTTTCCTATTTGTTGCCATCTGTTTGTTCCCAACAGCACTCCAATCACAATTTTCGGTAAGTTCCTCGCCTCCTTATGCTGTAGGAAGATTATTAAATTGAGAGGGTTGGTCCGTGTCGCTTTACAGAGGATAATATTGCCATGGAATAACCGATTTGATGCTGAAATGACATGAAAATAATTCGAAATGGCAGTAGGTTGGTGGTTTAATGTCATGATTTGTTGCATTGCCTTTAAGGTTGCTTTGTTTTTTGTATTTTATGTTTGGCTGGGTGTGTTCTTTTTTATGTGTGTTAAGGTTGAAATTGTGTGTATAGACTACATTTTGGGTTACTGTTATGGTTGCAATGGTGGCTGGAATTTCATGTGTTTATGGTTGCATTTTTTGTCGATCTGTGCATGAAATGGTGGTTGAAATACTATGTGTATATGGTCAATTGACTTGGCAAGGTAATTGAAATGTTGAAATTGATTTATCATTGGAATTTTGTGTGAATTCTTTTAATTGATCATGTTGATTTGTTTATTGTCTCTTCAATTGTAATATGTGGGTTATTGTTGTTGATTTTTATTCTCCACAGTGACGCATGATTGGTTTACACTAGCTGAATTTACAGCCTTCCGTGACAAACTGTTGTGTGAAGTTGAGTAGCATAGGCTGCGTTTTATTCATTTATGTATGATTATTGTGTATTGAGTATTGTGTAATTAGTATTTGCGGATGTCAAATTGAGTTCAATAAAAAATGGTGGTGATTATGTTCATTGTTGCAACGCGTGGAATTATGTATTATTATTGGTTCACAAGTTTAAACAGCATCGTTATTCAACTTGTAATTAATTTATTGGTACATTGATTGGATTCATCATACTGTAAATGTACAGGTACTCCAAAATATGTGATATGACAAATGTACCAATAATTCTCACACTTTTCACACATAGTTTCAGCTCAGGATAAGTGAAAAAAGTTAACAAATTTCCTGAAATTTGGAAACTTGCTTCTAAATTCCAGCCATGGTGTAAACCAAAAAAATACAATTTTTCTTTTGCCTTGAACAAAAAAAAAAAGGCTTCAATTGAACTAAAGTATAAATGAACATGTACGAACTATAATTTGTGGTAATACAAAAATCAAAGTTTTAGATAGAGTTTTAAATTGGGAGATGGCAATTATATTTGTTGCAATACCAAGGTCAGGTGTTGAATGTATACCCAACATAAAATACAATAGGTTTTTTTTTCGAAGTTTCAATAGTCCATGTAAATTTGTCAATAAATAACTTAACAATAAAATACTTGGCTAAAATATAAGAAAAATAATTTTGTTAATTGATCATTTCTTTTATTAACCAAACACGTTAATTATTTATACCCAGTAATTATCTAAAGGGCATTTTAGTAAAATGTAATCAAGACATCTGCTGTTACAGCCAACCAAACAAATTAATTAGTAATACAAGTAACCATCCCAAGGGCATTCTAGTAAAAGGGTATTTAAGGACATCTATTATTACTGTCAACCAAGCACATTAATTATTAATACATCTCAATTGAACCAAACACAATAATAATTTAAACTCGGTAATCTATAATATAATATTTCTTTCCGGTAATCTTATTACTAAGATAAAAAAACATTATATGATTCAAACGCCCCCATAGTGTTTACTGTTGGTAATGTGGGGGATAATCTTATTACTTTGTTGGGGGGTGTTATTAAAACATTACCTAAGTAATCTGATTTTTCTACCCATTTTGCCCTTAATTAAAAACTATTTTGGACACAATCGCTCTCAAATGTCGACCAAATAACAATCATCCAACCCCCCTACATTTGAGAAATTAGCTAAAACACCCCAATCACAAAATGTTTAAAAATTAACAAAATACCTCCAACCACCTAAGACCATTGTAGATCGTGACTCACCACCGTCGACCGCTAGCATCAGTCACCGTTATGTTGCACGACCGACGAGATCTGGTCAGTCGTGCTTCGATAAGGCCTTTTTTCTATCATGGATCACAAATCCATGGCTAGAAACAACAAGATTTAGCATTTCTATGGTCGTTTCACGGCCAAAGATCATGCCTTTTCACGACATCTTTGGCTGTGAAAAGGCATGATCTTTGGCCGTGAAATGACATAGCCAAAGATTTGGCCGTTTCACGACCAGATCTGTGGCCGTTTCACAATCACATCTTTATCCGTGAAACGACCATAGATCTGACCGTTTTTCGGCCATGGATTTGTGATCTATAGCCATTTCTAGCTTTGCCAGCGCACGACCGACCATATATGGCCAGTCGTGCGCCATTCCGTCTACTGCTGGCGGCAACCGGTGGTGCTAACTGGCTTCCAACAGTGGCTTGGGGTGGGTGGGGGTGATTTTGCTACAAATTAAAGTTTCATATAGTTCGAGTGTTTTAGCACAATTTCAAATATAGGGGGTTAAAAGAAATGATTCAAAAAATAATAACAAAAATACTATTATATTAATATTTAAAAAGGAAAACAGTTTAATAATCTATATAACATACACACCCATTTATCATCCTAACCAAACATATTATTCACCTGTTTATTCGAACCGATCAAACACATTTTTTAAACATTGTCAATAATTTTCAAGGTGATATTTATTTCCGTTAATATAATATATTTATATAATAAAATATTATATGATCTAAAAGCTCCCTTTATTCCATGAGTTCGAGGTTATCTTAGAGAGTTTGATTTAAAAAATGTATACCCCATACTTCTTAAGATGAACCTATATGGAAATTATGGAATAATATTCAGGGAAAAATTGACCAAGAGCAATTAAAACTTATTATATTCTGCACCTAAATTTAAGAACACATCATATCTCAGACAAATAGGGTTCAACAAGAGCATTAATACAAGAAATTTGCAATAGAATTTTGAGTTTTTGGCTGGCCAGCACGGTACTAGCATTAGTCAACTGGAACTGGCTGCATGTTCTCAGCCTCTTTCCTCAGATCTTCAAACAGAGCAGATGACAAGTACCGCTCCCCAAAGCTCGCATGAACAGTCTGAAATTTAAACCAATAACAATTCTGAGTATTGAAGTTGTCAATTTCAAACTGTGGTAAAAAAAAAAAAAAAACTTATAACAACTTCATAGTCTATTCCGTTTTGGGCGAAATAATTTGTCACTATTGAGAACTGCTGAGTTGACGTAGAGAGAATTTGAGAATTTAAGACACAAGTGTCCTTACGACAATAAGTTTGCCTCTGTTCTCGGGCATTTGAGCGAGTCTTAGTGCTGCAACTGTATTTGCACCTGAAGATATCCCAACCTACACAAACCAGAAGGTTGACATCAAGCTTAAAACAATTTGAAATTCACACATTATTCTTAAGACCAGAAGAACTTGAAAGTTGGAGGTCTAATAATTGGAACAGTCTTGAAATATTTCAGCCCCAAAAACCCCAATTACAATGCCCATAACAACTTCAGACGGAGTCTGAGCTAGGTCTAGACTCTAGAGAAATGCCCATTAAGAGAAGTAAATATCAGCTGTATAAAATCTTATTAACTAACACATATGGGTAAAGATAACTGGAATTTAAAAATCATTTGAGTTTTACCATAAGCCCCTCTTTCACGGCCAACTCCCTAGCCATTTTTACTGAATCTTCACTGCTAACCTGTCATAGAAATTTTAAGTAAAATTCAGAAATATAGCCTCACAGAGTTTCTTTTTTGTTTTTTTTTTTTTATTTTATGCGAGGAAAGGGTTTGAAAAGATGGTAGATAAGCAACATTTACCTCAAGAACTTCTTCCATTATATCCATGTCCAAAATATCTGGTTTGAATCCTACCCCATTGCCAGTAATAAGATGAGGACCTATTTTAATTGAATATGTCAGACTATTTTAAAAGTCTCAGAAATACAAGAATAGATTAAAATAAAAAAAATAAAACGAAATAATCTTTTGTTCTTTCTTTCCTTTTTCCAATCATGTATAAAGCTAACAAAAGAAAATCTGCATAACAAAAATGGAAGAGAGTGTTCTAGTTTTGTTCTAATTGGCTCTGCATTATAGACGGGGAAGAGAGAAAGCTGATTGAATGCCAAAATAACACACTCTTTACCTGGTTTACCACCATTCAGTACATTACTTTCAGCTGGCTCCACTCCATAAATCTACAACAAAAAAATAAATAAAACCAAAAAGAAGTTTACATTATAATTTTGAACATAACAGATTCGCTCCAATTGTTAGCTTATTGCTAGTTTCCAATTCGGAAGTTCACAGTTCTTGCTGTATCTTGTTTAGTCTTGATGCAGAGATTGACCATCAATTAAAAGTGAAAATTGAATATTTAATTACCTTAACATTAGGATTTTGAGATTTAAGATACTGCCCAACGCCAGAGACAGTTCCTCCACTGCCAATTCCCATAACAAAGATGTCTACTTTTCCCTGAGTATCCTCCCATATTTCAGGACCGGTGGTTTCAAAATGCACCTGTTGTCCAGTTGAAGTCACACTTCCATTACTAAACCCATGATATTTTCCACTTTAGGCATAAATGAGCATTACAAGATACAAGTTAATTGGTACCTTAGTATTGGCAGGATTTGAGAATTGTTGCAGCATGAAAGCATTTGGTGTAGATTCCAAAAGCTGTTGTGCCTTCTTAACCGTTCCTCCCATCCCCTTAGCGGGATCAGTGAGGATTAATTCAGCTCCAAATGCTCTCATAGTCACCCTTCTCTCCAAGCTTGTGTAAGAAGGCATGGTCAGAACCATCTTATATCCTTTCATGGCTGCAATAAATGCCATACTTATTCCCATGTTCCCCGAAGTGGGCTCTATCAGGGTTGTCTAATTCATCAATTGAAAATTAAGTTAGAGAAAAATATATGATAGTTTAGGAGTGATAATTGAGTGATCATGCAAAATATAACGCAACTACTCAGCTAACCTTGCCCGGAAATATTAAGTTTTTCTTCTCCGCGTCTTCAATCATGGATAATGCCGGTCTGGCAACAGAAATAATATCAATATAGTAAGGTGATGGATAGAATATACGTTCTTGTATAAATTTATGACAGTGGTGACACAAATACCTGTCTTTAACACTAGAAGTAGGCTGGAACATCTCTTGTTTGGCAGCAATATAAGCTCCACATCCTTCACTGACTTTATTAAGAAATACAAGGGGAGTTCTCCCAATGAGCTGAAAGATGAGAAAATATAAAGAATAATATCAGTTCAGATTACTATGATTCAAGAAGCCAGTAAGATTATATTAATTTATCTTCCTACCAATATCGTTCATATCACGTCAAAACAATTTCGTCATCATAGGATGCACTATATTATTATAAAATAATTTAAATCTTAGGAAATAACAAATACAACATGTCACGGGATGGGTAATATGTGCGTGCAATGTACTGGAGTTCTCTGTTGAATAAACGATTCAGTATCTACCTACCGGCACCACATGTGGAACCTGACATGATGGTGGGCTAAGGTTACTTACTCCTGTGCAGCCCCTGCCCCTGGAGTTGGATCAACGTGTAAAACACAATGGGAATTGATCCAATGGCTGGATTTGGAACGGCTAACTTTAGTACTGTAGAGCACCCACCACATGGAGTGATGGAGATATATATACTTGTGTTAATTATGGTTTCCTCTTTATTATGGTCCTTTCCAGATTTTCTTAATTTTTTTTCACTTGATCCTAGATGGCTATAAGCATATAAAAATAAATAATCATTCTATCTACAGGTGAGCATCATGGGGTCAATAATGAAAAGAGACAGGATATCCACCACCCACTCTGTTTTATCTTTCTTTCGAAAATTACAGCGTGAAGAAAAGACGAACAGAGGAGGAGGAGGAGAAGGCAGGAAAATGAACCCAAAAAAGAAAATAACTCTTTTGAGTCTCTAGTTTTGTAAGGTAATCCAAAATGTGAATTGTGTGTAAAAGAAATTTTAAATGATGATGAACAGTATTCATCAAATGCTAAAACAGAAGCATATGCTGATTTGAAAAGAAAGTGAAACTTATGATGAAAACTCCATATTCAAGAACTGAATAACATAGAAATTACTTGAGAAGCATCTTTCTTGACGTTGGTTCCAGGAAGATCCTTGGGCAAATCTCTGAGTCTCTGAGCAAAAGATGGAGAATCAACAAGAGGTTGAGTGGAGACTAATCTCCTCAGCATGAATTGTTTGCATACTGTGAATCTTTTCTTCAAGGAGCTCGTTAAAGTAGCAGAAGCCATTAGAGAGAGAAAAGGCTAAGCTCAAAGACTAATTTGAGTTACTATTACAAGAACCCCTTGCAGTGGATAACAAAGGGAAAAGGGTGATGAGTACAAGCCTCATTCTGTGAATCTCTCTTTATAACGTTTCTCAGATACCAAATCTTCTTATTAAATTATAAAATATTATATCTGCTCCCACTGCCAGGTGAAAACTTAAGAGCCGTGACTGATGGGAACGATGGACGAATCACAGTGTCTATTCAATGTCTGCGGACATTTAATAATTTATTATTCTAGATTTCTAACTTACCCAGTCTAAGTTAAGGGATCTTTCTGATTGATAAAAATTAAGTTATATCTAATTTATTTAAACTGATTTTATAAAATTTCAGTACGCCATTCGCTATTGTGTGGTCGTCGCCAGCTGGTTAGTTTCTCGGATATGCATGTATATTTGTGGTGGCTGATGCATTTGGCTCTTTGCTGCAAAGAACGGTCAAAGAAAAAGCAATTGTTTTTTATTTTTGAAGAATATATAATCACATACATTTGTCCAGGATGAATGTGATCGAAGAAGTGAAGAAAATGATGGCATACTCGTCCTTACATTTAGGCTTTAGCCATTTTAATGTTATATAAGCAATGCATTTTCACCAGATTTTGAAACACTATCGTCATTGCTTATTTAGGCCTCCGCATACAAGTCGCAAATACTGCTGAGTTAAGCTTTAAAAGTAGTTTCAATTACGACCCATTCCTTTATCAGTTTGAGGTATTGTATTTTTGGTGAGGAATTAATGTTAATCTAATCTAAATGAGCATTCTATTTAATTCTGTGGCATTGGCTGAGTAATCAATCTGTTCATTAGAAAACGACACAACGTTAACTGCTGCCTTGTGATAAAGGAAACAATAATGTGGCGGAGGCCTGCTTGTTTAGTCGCTGTATTTTTATTAGCCGCCATAGAATGAGCCAGTTTCATGAACAATCGTTCTCAAAAGCCTGAGGCATCAAAATTATAAAAATAAAAATTACGCAGGGAAATTTACTTTATATTAAATTTTACTTTAATGAATTATGTAAGTTGGTGGTGTTGAAAAAGATTTCTCAAAAAAAAAAAAAAAAAAAAAAAAAACTAAACACAAGAATTTTAAAGTGGTTCGGTCCAATCAATTTAGCCTACGTCCACTATGTACTCAAATAATCCGCTAAGCAAAAACTTACAATTGTGTAATTTTTAGAAGAGAAAAACTACAAACTCCTTACACTATCCTAAAAAGCCCAATTATACTCTTAATAACAGCCTGCAATGACTATTTTTTTGGTGTCTATCTTACACTTTTTGAGATACTTTAAAAGTCAAATCTACTAGTCTATTTAAAGGGTAGAGCCCCTTGCAACTCCTTTTTCCAAGCAATATAGAATTTAAGACACAATCTCAACAGGTGGACTGTGGAGCAGTTACTTATGACTTCTAATTGGGCATATACTATGTTTTAAAACCTGGCTCGACCTAGCCGATTTAACTGGTCTAACCAGGCCGTGGGGCCTTCGCCGGGTTGGGTCACCCATTTCCACTTGTTTGTAGCTCGAAGAAGCAAACCCCAGAGAGGAGCGCAACGAGTTGACGGTGGCACGACTGTTGGGAGTTATTGGAGAGGAAGTGCTAATGAGTTGATAGGTGACGACGGAGGTGATTTCCAGAGTTTTTGGGTTTTTATTGCGGAAAATAGTTTGATTTCAACCAGATCTTGGGAAGATTTGTTGGGGAATGGCTTGAAGGATAGATTGGATTTGCATTGGTGTGTTGTTGCAGCCAACTAGTCGACCCTCGGTTTGCATTTGGTGTGTGTTTGCTAGATTTTAAACTTGTAGGGATCGATGAAATTTCTCAGAAGTATATTTGCTAGATTTCAAATCTCTATACATGCTAACATCAACAGTATGACCCATCAATTAAACCGATTCAATTGATCAACCTAAGACCTAACCACTTTATCAGGTTTCACACGACCGTTGATTAAAAGTTTAAAACGCTGTATATTAGGCTGTTTTCATTTACATATTTTTATGGTAGAGTAATGTTAGCCTTACTCCTCCTTCTTACTCTTTTCTCATACTCACTCATGTGATAGGTGGGTGTAAGAAGAGAAAGAAGGAAGTAAGAAGAGAGATTAACATAAATGAGTAAGAGAAATAAGTAAGATGGGAGAGCAAGGCTAGCATTATTTTTTATGGTATTGTTTAGTTTTCGTATATATGGTGTGGGTCCATCACTGTCAGAATCTCCATAACCTTCAACCATTATTAGCACGCCAATAACTTATTATACAATCAAGTATCATAATTGGACAGGTTGGTGACTTGGTGTAAAATTTATTAACTTCTTTAGCCAAGGACAAAAATAATGCAATAAAATAAATCCAATCACTTTAGGTTAATAATCCACTATAATTTGTCATATAAACAAATATTTTTGCTCCGTGATTAATACGCCATTTAAATAATCAACCGTAATGGCCAAAAAGGCATCATTTTTTATGTGCACTAGGAATCCTCAAACGATAATTCGTGCAAGTCAATATCAATGCATAATTGGTATCTTTGACCGCTCACACGATCTTCTTCTTGGTTTCTTCCCTTTATCGTTCAAAGAAGAACAGAATATTAGAAGTGTCAAAAGTGACATCCAACCACCGTAAAAGCGAAACAAATTAGAAATTAGTCCTTGTTATTGCTGTCTATGAATAATACAAGCCTTTTTTAAGATTATTCATTTTGGTTATGAAGTTATTGTTGATAGAGGCTTTGAGAAGAGATGACAATTGAGAAGGATCATAACAATTATAGTTCAAAAATTGCCGAAGATGCTCCTTCCAATGCCCAAGCTGAATCACCATATGGCGAAATGGTGAATATTGACAAGGGGAAAAGGCCCATGCTGCACTATTGCCACATGGATAAGTAGATACGACTCTGAATTCCAGAGCTAAATAAACGTGGACGGCTAATTTCTGTTTCCAATTTTAGCTTCCTTTAGTTAAAAGTTTTCAGACACAATTGCCAGTACTATATAGTCAAAGCAAATAAGCATAAAAAAGGTGTTGGATTTATGGTTGCGTGTATATCTTTTATATCACTACTCAACCACCAAACATACAACATGAAAAATATATTATTGACTTTGAACTGTCAACTATCAACTTTTTTATTTTTATGCATGGGCAAACGTTAGTTTGAATAATATTGTCAGAGGTTTTTACATGGAAACTTCCGCGGTTTAGTGAAGATAAAAGAAGACCCACAGGCTTTAGAATGAAATACTTACACCTTTGTAATTGAATGATATTTATGAAAAATAACTATTTAATATTTTGATCATGTGACAAATATTAGATATTAACTTCTTTTTGTAGGAGAAAAAACAAATAAAGGTATATTTGTTATGTACCACAATTCTGTGTCTGCATTAACATTTCATAAAGTGTCTGGTAATTATTGGGTGCGTTTGTTTCCTTTTTTTGTTTTTTTTTTCAAAATACTCTATTCTTAAAAAAATCATATCCTATAATATTTAACTATTTTAAACTCTCATAGGTTTGTTAATTTAACTAAACAAGTCCAACAAAAAAGTTTTATAAATTAAAAAAACACCCCTATCTACCCACATTTGTTAGATTCCGACAACCACTGTCGGAAGGTGACTGAAATGTGACGTAATAATGCACTACCGGTTAGATCTGATTGGTAGTGCGCCAATTTAGCATTTTCCAACCAGATCCACCACGGATTTGACCAGAACAGGCTAGACATCTGGCCGTCATAGACGATTAATATATGGCCGTTGTTGACCGTAAACAACGACCATATCTTTGGCCGTCGACCAGATTTGGCCGATCGTGCATAATGACACCAGATTTCAGCCAAATTCTGGTGGTGGTTGCCGGAATTTAGCAACTATAGATAGGTGGGGGTCTTTTTGTTAATTTATAAACTTTTTATTATTAAGAGTGTTTAGCTAAATTAACAAACCTAAGTGTTTTTTTGTTAATTTTTATATCTTACCTCGTAATAATAACCCAACTCAACTTAACAATGGGTGCGTTTGGCTCCCTATTTCTACCCATATTCTCAATCTTATTCTCCAAATATTGTTTGGCACGTTATTTCATAAATATTACTATATTTTTTTAATTATTTTTAGACCCCCTAAGTTTATTAATTTCATTAAATAGCCAAAAAAAAGTTTAAAGATTAACAAAAACACCCCTATCAATGCAGACTTGCCAGATTCTGACAACCACTGTCGGTGGTAGCCGGAATCTGTACGACGACCTACACCCCGACCAGAAATGGTCGTTAGTTCACCGATCAACGACGGCCAAATCTTGGCCATCGTTGACCAAAAACGACGACCATATCTTCTTTGGTATTTTCCGGCCAGATCCGTGGTGGATCTGACCGAAAAAGGCCATAGCGATGCGTTACAATACATATCTGACTGGTCTGTGTTGTAACGCAATTTTTCGCCCAGATTCTAATGGTGGTGGCCGGAATCTAGCACTGCAGGTGGTGGAGGTGTTTTTGTCATTTTATATGTTGGGGTGTTTAATTAAATTAGCAAACCCAGGGGCTTTTTTTATAAATTTTTAAATTTTACCTTGTAATACTCCCTTATTCAATAATTCAATATTATTTTTAAAATTCTATCCAAAATAATAAACCAAACGCACCCAATAATATTTCAAAAATACTATTAAAAAATATTACTATGAAAAGGGGCACAAGGAGCAATATTCAAATTCTTATAGGCTAATATCAAAATATTAGAAAAAGATATGTAAAAACTAAAAAACGCACAACAAAAAGCGTTACAGTGCAAAAACTTTTGTATTTTTTCTTTCAGATCATAATATGTAAAAATAGTTTTTCCTCATTACAATCTCTCCTCCTCCCTCAAGTTTGTCTAATTTACATCGACCGCCCTCGAATTGCCCTATTCTGGTAACTCACTCTTCACTCAATCCCGTATATTTTCACGTTTCAATAGTATTCTTTTCTTTAATTTTGATCTCCTTTTTGTTTCTTCACTACTCGATTATTTTATTTTATTTTTATTTTTATTTATTTTTGTGTTAATTTTTAGTTTATTTTAATTAAGTTTCATATGTTTGCATTCTCTGCATGTTAGGGTTTTTATTTTATTTAACAGTAAGAACTGGAAATGATACTTATTTTATTTTGGGTAGTTCATCGCCGCAATTTATGTTTAGCATTTCGGTAGGTGAAATTTAGCTACAAGCATTTTTGCTCAGCCACTACAAGATTAAATTTTAGGGTTGAAGTGCAGTTAATTGATGCATATATTGGTAATTATAGTTATAAAGAGGATGTGTATTTTTAATGCACAGTATGCTTACATTTTCAGTTTTGCTAGATTGTCGAAATGCGTTTTTAAGCCCTGATCTTGGTTTTGCATTGGGACAAAGACACAATAAGAAACACAATTGCTGGTATGGGATTCTTTAATCGTTACATTAGAGTTATGATTCACCGCACCACTGTTTATGAGATCACTCTGTTTCTGTCTTTATTGATGGTATCACTAGATTTTCTATATGGCATATTTGTGTCGAAGTGGTTATTTCGTCAAACCAATTATAACTTACCTTACTGTTATAAGAGAAAATAAGAAGGGAAGTCCTAGGAAATAAACATATTTTCCTTCTTTCTTTAATATGATCTGATGTTTAATGAATTGCTTGTTGATTGAAGGTCAATGAACAGGAATGACGACGACTTGGGTAGTCCTCTTGATGAGGACATGGATATTAGACTACAAACAGCAGATGAGCTGGACTTGAATTTAGAGCATGAAAGCCGCATCCCAAAAGGCATCTGTGTGACTCCAGCCAATCTTTCCTCAAAAGAAGAAGCCAGTACAGATGGGGTACTTAAAATTGGTACTGAGTTTGAATCAGATGAACATGCTCACAGATTTTACAACAGATATGCGAGATTGCTTGGTTTCAGTGTGAGAAAAGATTGGGTAAATAGGAGTAAGATACACGGTCAGGTGGTGTCTAGAAAGTTTACATGTTCCAGAGAAGGATATCGGCGGAAGGACAAAAGAGACATTAATGTGAAGAAGCATCGAAAGGAAACCAGAACTGGTTGCTTGGCACATATGATCATCACTCGTCAACCTGATGGTAAATACAGGGTTACTCATTTTGAAGCAAATCACAATCATGATAATATAAACCCCAATAATGCTCAAATATTACAACTGCAGAAAGAGCTTTGCGTTACTCAATTTTCTGAAGCTGACTTGATGAACGATTTGGAGTCCCAGTCAAATACCGAATATGAACTTATGAGTAGGAGATCTGAAGTACGAGATTCTCTTGATTTTCTTGCCATGGATTATGATGATATCCTTCTATCTGAAAGAGCGAGAGATATGAAAAAAGGAGAAGCAGGACGTCTGTTGCGCCATTTTCAGAGGCAGCACTTTGAAAATCCATCTTTCTTCTATGCGATACAGATTGATGCTGATGATAAAGTATGCAACATATTTTGGGCTGATGATAATATGGTTGTGGACTATGATCATTTTGGTGATGTGGTTTGTTTGGACACAACCCACCGAACAAACAAAGATTCTTTGCCATTTGTGCCGTTTATCGGAGTGAATCATCACAATCAAGTTGTGATACTTGCTGCTGCTTTTCTATTTGATGACACTGCTGAATCACTCAAGTGGCTACTTCATACATTCTTAGAGGCTATGTCTGGGAAGAAGCCAAAGATCATTCTCACAGATCAAGATGCAGCTGTTGTTGAGGCAATTAATTCAGTCTTACCAGAAATAGATCATCGTATATGTCTATGGCAGATGTACCAAAATGCTCTTAAGCACCTGAGCCTTGTATTGAAGGATACTCAATCTTTTACCTCTGATTTTAGAAGTTGCATTTATGACCAGAAAGATGAGCAAGGTTTTATTCAATCATGGGCAGCTCTACTTGAGAATTATGGTCTTCAGCAAAATGACTGGCTGAAATGGATGTTTAGAGAAAGAGAGAAATGGGCTGTGGTATATGGCAGAAACGGCTTTTTTCTTGACTTGAAATGTAGACATCTGGTTGAGAGTTTATCTAATAACTTCAATAATTATCTTAGCTCTGATCAAGGTATGCTTCAATTTTTTAAGCATTTTGAAAGAGTGGTAGATGAACAGCGTTACAAAGAAATTAAAGCTAATGAGGAAATGTATAGGTGCATGCCAAGGTTAATGGCGAATGTGATTTTGTTAAAGCACGCAAGTGAGGTTTACACGCCAAAGGCATTTGAGGTATTTCAGCGAGAATATGAGAAATGTTTAAATGTTGTTGTTAACCAGTCCAGTCAGAAAGGATTATTGTCTGAATACGAAGTGAACACCTTTGGTCAATCTCGAGAATACCGTGTTACATTCAATTCTTCTGACAACATAGTTGCCTGTAACTGCATGAAGTTTGAGTATGTTGGGTTTCTTTGTAGTCATGCACTAAAAGTGCTCGATCATAGGAATATAAAGGTGGTCCCATCCCAATATATCTTAAAGCGATGGACTAGAGATGCAAGGATTGGTAGCTTGGGGAATAACACTGACTTCATAGAATCTGGAAACGTCAAGTTGGTTGTAGCAAGACGTTACAAAGATTTGTGTTGTCGCATACTAAATATATCAGCCAGGGCAGCTGATTCTGAGGATGCATTTCAGTTTGCATCAAGACGATTGGAGGAAGTAATTGAAGGAGTTGAAAAAATCTTGACATTAAAAGCCGATGAAGCTCAAGGTATCACCTCTAGTAGCACTGGAGCAAATGCTTCTGAAAGTGAAAATGCGGAGATTTTTTTGGATGGAAATACAACTGCGGATCAGGAGGTGGATGACAAAGCACAGGGAACAAGGGAAAAAGAGATTTGTTCTGCTGATAGGCGCAAACTGAAGAATATAAATGTGAGAAGCTCCAAAACAAAAAGAGACCAGAATGTACAAGTACAATCACCAAATAATCTTACATGCATTTCAAGCCCCCCATCGGCTTATGTTTCACCTCAGCCTTCAACAAACAATCCTGTTATGCAGGTGATACGCCGTTTACTTTATTGCTGTTATTCCAGAAAATTATCATTATCTCTTTGTCCTACTTTCAGTGATTTTAAAAATCTTATAATTCGTAAAGTATGTATTGGCAGAGCTTGTACAATTTTGAAGCTACTCAGGTGGTTCAGTGTATGTACCAACAGCCTGATCTGCTCATAGACCAACAACCCAATACTGACATGTATCAACAACCAAATTTCTACTCTGACCAAGACAACCCTCCTGGCCAAACTCCGTTGCTCCAGGTATAAATAATAACCTCAGCATTTACACAACGATTAATTTGAAATATTATTATGAATGATTTACGGAGATATTACCATACAGGAACCTTTGATACGTAACACATATCATGAGTCTGTCTCGAACAACACTCACCTGAGGCAGGTAAGCAGAAGCGGAGAAATAAATTTGGCTAATAGTTTTTGTATTTAGATGCCGATTTAGCCTTTCCGTACTTATTTAATGTGCTTCTGGTATGTTTCTGTAGGTAATGGATCTTGACATGCACCATCCACATTCATCTTCATTTATGCTTTATGATCACAGATACAGAACTCCTGACACTTCATATCTTGTACCCAAGTAATGAAGAAGAATACCCTCACGGCATTCTTCTCTTGTGGATATATTTTGTGTTGTACAGTTACAGTTGCAAATTATTTAGTGTTGAATCATAGAATTAGGTTGGAATACAAAGGAATCAATCTTCACATCTTCTGTATTTTGTACGCATTAATTTGTAAACAAATTGAAAGATGCAGAGGCAATTCATGTACTGATTTAAAATTTTGAGATCAATAAGGTAACCCAGATTGCAGTCATACCTAAAACAAAAGCAATCACTAGCCAGCCATTTGGGTGGGTTAATGTTCGAGTCAATTAGCAAGGCCTTATTACTATTGTTATAAGTAATAAATCGTTGACAAATTTCATGAATTGTATTACGTTTATAATTATTATTAAAATATAAGTTTTTTTTTTTTTTTTTTTTAATTTGAAATTTAAAATTTATAAATCCAAAATAAAACAAGAATAGAGAACATCGCACATGCAAGGAGAGAATGAAATGTGCACTCCTACATATAAGCTATTGTCTACCAAACGCCCATTGAACAATGAAAATGAAAAATCCATTTCCTTTGTTACCATTAATCCTTCTCCTCTTGGTGGTGGGATGGAGTGAGGCAGGAAAGGCGAAAGTCCACATAACGGATGATCTTGACGACGTCGTTGACGATGAAGAAGATGAGGCTTGGAAGGAATGGGGCAAGAAAAAGCCATCCGTTCCTGACGAATTCGATCCACCAAAAATTGATCATGACAAGATGAGCTTGTCTGAGATCCAGCACGAGATCATGAGCCGCCAGTATGGCCCTGTTTACGGCTTTGTCAAACTCCGATTAGGAACTCGCCGGACTCGGGTAATCAATTTCTCTTTTATTTTCGCTTTGGGTTTTCTAGTTGATGTTTTATTTTGGATCTGGGTATTAAATGGCTTTCATTCTTTCTTTTTAGGAAACGGTGACTGAAATTACTAAGAAGTGGACAAAAGTTCTAAAAACTGGAGGTATTGAAGTGAATTTCATGGGTGTTGATCTAGTCACCGTCATGTTCACCCTGCAAAGAGGCCTAGACAACTTGGAGGTAGGTTAATTTCTACAAGTCTGTATCTTCAATTTCAATTTTTGTAGGTTCATTTCTACTAATCTATATCTTCAATTTCAATCTGTGCTTACATCAAATGCATGTGTTTGTGATCTGATTTAATTTTTGTATCAATCCAGTTGAAAGAGTTTTTACTGAATCAACCAGAAGCTTATGAAGTTAAGATAGGGGATCAAGTTTTTCGAAGACCTGGAGATCCTCCTTTAGACCAAGTTATTAAGGAGAACCTTGAAAATGAAGAAAACAAAGAAGTTGATGATGCCACTGCACCAAAACAAGAACTCTAGTTGACAATAATTTTCTATATTAGATTAGGGATCAAACCTTACGTACACCTAGATCTAGACTAAGAATTGATTTCCAACTTTGCTATCTCCATCACCCACATCTAAGAATTGATTTTCTCTTCAATTTACATCCTGCTTATATTTTTCATTTCTCCATGAATCTGTACCGTCTTCACTTACAAAACTGTATTTAACTTATAACTGAAGAACTGAAGTACTGAACTGAAACTGCTGCAAAGATCGAGGATTTATTACCGTATGACTTGATAATTGAAATTTATTCATTATTACTAGGAATCAGGGTATCAAACAAATTATTACAATTGAAATCCACAAGTAATTATCTGTTTGTCTTTGTGATACCATCAATAGCTCGGAAATACATGGCTTCTTTATTAGAAGGCAATGCTGGACATTCAAATAACTCATCTCCATGATTTTCATGAAACGAGAAATTATGCCGTTTTTATTTATAAGTGAAATGAGTAATCTATGAATAATTAACAGTACAGTGAAATCAATCATTATTTCAGCTTCCGACTAAAGTCCGAGAGTTCGAGAACTTGAACCCTGGGAATGCTTGCTGCTTCCTCTCTCTCTTTCTCAGTGTTGTACCCCCATTTACCTGTTCCAATTGATCCACGTTAGCAACTAAAACTACATGCCAGTATAAATATAACATAAAAAGCCAAAAGAGACTTTGGAGGCAGAGAAGACGAAAAGATGGTTACAGAAATTACAAGAAAAACCCAGAAAACGTATTACCGAGATACAAATTCCATGCATTTAATTCAGGCTCTTTAATCACATTCTTCAGAGTTGCAAGTCGATCTTCCACAAAGCTAGTCCAGAATCAGAGGTGATATAGTCAGTTTCATTCAACCTTAGTTAACAACCTATCAATTCAGAAACACGATAGTAGTAAAAGATTGATGGGCAACAGCAGTGCTGTAAAATGATAACTATCAATTATCAAAACCCATCAATTAAGAAACATGGACTACATTATTTGATGTTTAATGATAGTGGAAAAAAAAGTAACCTACTGTAGTGTCAGCCCCTGGTGTTCTGGTTTCTTCTGAAGTTGCTTCAGCACTTCCACCTTAGGACTGTAAGGAGATCAAAATATTTTTTACGAGAGTAACCACAAGCAACAGTGTAAGAGAATCAACCCCAATAATTTACTAGTCTTAATTGCATATGTGAACATACTAACCCAGTTCCAAGGCCATAAATTCTCTCAGGTGGTATTGTAACTCCTGCAAGCTTTTGCAACAAAGCATCTGCAAATCGGCTCTGAATTGGGAGAAAAGGGAAGGTCATTTACTGGTGAGAAATAGAATATTTAAGAGTATTTCTTTTAAATGAGTCCCTTCTTTAGTTTATTTATGTGCACAAGCTGAGTATTGACGTGGCTGAGAGCAAAGAAGAAGAGACTGCACCTGTTTTGTGGTAACTATATATATCCTTGAGCTTGCAAATTTCAGAGCATCAGGAACACCTGGATAGAATCTGCAGAAGAAACACCTTTAAATCTGAAAATTTTCCTGGTCCTATTTGCAGTTCTTTTCAACAAAGTTCAGTTACAATATGTCAATAGTAAACTTATATAGGAAGTCACAAGAATTTGGTTGACATGAGAAGCAACTGAATAAAATTAGGCTAGTCTTGAAAAATGATCACAAAAAAAGCACCACATTTTTTCATCATGCAAACTAGGAGTATCACATATGGTCACTCTCAATAAACTCGTTCACAATACCTATTTGCACCAATCCAAGTTTCCAAGTCTGTATCCATCCATTCGTCTCTGACCTTCCCAAAAAGATCTATTAGATCATCTCTACTGTTTTCGCCCCATTCTTCCATAATGACAGGTTTAAGCTTAGACCAGTTCTCCAATATCCCCTCTACTGTGAGTCCCTCTGCAACCTTGCAAATTGAATGATAGTCATCAGATCCACCAATTCTTTAAAATGCAAATAAAAGAATCTCTGATTATCACTATTCTTGTCTCTGATTATCACTATTCTTGTCAAGAACAAATTTGAAACTAAACATTTGTTTAGCCATTTAACATCCATCAGATAATTTCAACCCAGAATGGAGAGTGTGTGTTCTCTACCCACCGAGGATTTCCGAATGGAAGGTAGTCTCGTCTCCAGCAGCAACCTCACAAGCAACAGATTTTCATATCCAGTTTCGACCACAGGTCTCACCTGCCATAGTATAAGGCATTAATCATCTTCAAAATAACCTTTTTTCCACACAATTCCACTCTCAAACATAGGCAATATCGACCAAAACAAAAAGTCTTATCTTCTTATATATAATACGTTTTCATAGCTAAGAGGTAGCTTCAACATTCATTGAATCTTTTAGTGGCACAAGAGTTGAGAAGTGAGAACCGCTCTAAATCCTATTTTCCACTGTCTAATTGTGCAGTATAAACTCTAATCAACATTTCAACAGAATGGAAATCCTAAACATATAAATAACAAATTATTGAATTTATCTATATCTGGGCTTTTAGAGTGTGAATGAAATTTGAATTGACTAGAATTTCAGAGACGTGAGACAACCAGCTAAAAAGAGATACAATTAAAGAAACTGTGGAGAGCTTACTTTGTACATTTGATCGACAATCCAATCCTCCATGGCAGAATCCGCGCCATCGAATAAACCCGGCCATCTCACTTTGGCAGCCTATCGTACACAAGTGACCCAAAAAGAAACAAAATTAAAATAAAATTGTAATTTGCAATATGAAACCAACGGCAACAGGAAAGGTTGAGAGAGGACCTTGACAGCAGAGAGAGAGCTCTCTCCACAACTGTCACAGAGAACTCCATCAAAGTCCAAGGCATACAAATCTCCCATTTCTCCTTCTACTTTATTTTTCTTTCTTTTTTTCAAAAGATAAATGATTGTATCGTCCCCGCCACCCAACCCTGATTACACTGTTCTTCATTTAGAGACGCCATGAAGCAGGTAGGCTTTTTTGCTTACCAATCAAATTAGGCCACATATTGCTTAGTAGGAAGAGTGTTGGACCATACTATAACAATATTAATATTAAAACTACACTAACAACCTCCTTCCACCCCTTTTATGGAACAAGTTTCGTAATTAGTTGGTTTATAATAGTTCTTATATAGATCTCATAATTAATTATGAATTAATTAATTATAAACTGCTATATCAAGATTATGAGAGAAAATTTATCAGAAATGATTGTTGGTATAGTATTAGTATGACTTAAATTAGTTTTTTTCAATTAAGAAAATAATTTTATACCAGAAGTGACAAAAAAAAAATTAGCCTGGTCGGGATCCGGGTGGATCCAGGTGTTATTCAACTCGGGCCTGCTACGATAGTACCCGAGTCAGGGTCCATTAAGAGAACTGTAGATTTCCGGGTCCGGCTCTATCATTCTAACAACTGGGCCGGGTCCAGGTATGCAATACATTACCTATGATTATCGTGAACTTCGCCGCACCTAATTTAACCTTTTTGGCGGGAACAATTTTCTCAGATATTCTTTTCTCAAATCTCAGCAACTCTCACTCCATTAGGGTTTTCTGATTGCAAGAATCTCTGATTCTCACTTGAACGGCTACGTTTCTGTCAGGTATGTCTCTTTAGCTTAAGTTTGTTTTCCTCTTTCTCGTCTTCATCTTTGATTGGTCGAAAAGGAAACGCAGGAAAATTTAATTTCAAAAGGTTTAATGTTCAACTAGAAATATTTTCGCTTTCTCCGGTTTTGTATAATCACTATCCTCGAGTTACTGTTGCTGAAATTACTTTCCCTAATTTATCAATCATTTGTTAATTTACATAACTGCTTTTTACTCTGTTTGGATTTTGATTAATGGGTTCTTGAAAAAGATATTAATTGAAGTCCCTAATTGGTTACTGTTATATTGTTTTAATTTTTTGATTTTATTGTCGTATGATGCTCTTGATGCTAGTTTACTGATGGATGTTATATATTTTTTCCCCCTTTATTGGCCAGAAATTGTATTGATGGCCAAGGACAAAGAGGAAGCCACACAAGTGAGTAGGAGAGCTACAAGATTGTCCTTGTCTACTGCTAATTCAACCAATGATATTGAAGCAGCAAAATCATTTAATTCCCAAACACTAACACTTGATAACTTAGTATTTGGACAAGAACCCATTGGCTTAGATGATTTGTTATCTTGTTTCCCAGGGAGGCGTGTTCAAATTCTCGAGATACTGCATCTTTTGGGTACCATAAAGTCTTCAATGCCTCCTATGTTTATATACGGGAGTGCTTCTACTGGAAAAACTAGTATTATTCTCCAAGTATTCCGCCATCTCAGAGGCCCTTTTGTTTATATAAGCTGTCTTTCATGTTACAGTCCTCGGATCTTGTTTGAGTCTATCCTGAACCAGTTGTTGTTTCATAAAAAGGATGCAGTTAATGGTTATTCAAGTGTGAAGAAATGTGAAAAGCCATCTGATTTTGTTAATTTTATACGTGAGGCATTGATAAATGTTATAGACAGTCTCAAGGAGAACTCAAAGAAAATGAGCTCAAGTAAGTTGAAGGGACAAGTTAATGGAAGGATGATTTACTTGATTTTTGATAATTTTGACCTTGTTCGAGAGTGGGATAAGAGTTCTAGTATATTACCTTTACTGTTTGGTCTCTGTGATATCTTGAAGATGCCTGAAGTGGGTTTTATATTTATCAGCAATAGCTCTCCTGATACTTATTACTCAAATACTGGTTACATGGAACCTATTCTTGTTTATTTTCCTGAATACACAGAAGATGATCTCCGTCAAATTTTCTTGAGAAACCAAGCAAATCAGAAGCTCTATTCCTCCTTTCTAGAGTAAGAATACAGAACTTATTTTTTCAATAGAATACAGAATTTATGTTTTCATTGATTCTCCTTTGATGGTTTGCTCATACAATTCATGGAGTTGTTTTTTTTCTTATCAAACAGTGTTGTGCTGAGACCATTCTGCAGAGTTTCCAGACGTTTGGATGAACTATCTACAGCATTTTCAACATTATTTAAAAAATATTGTGAACCTTTAAGTGATTTGGGAGTTGTACCAAATGAAGATATGAAGAGAAGATTGTTTAGTCATATTCAGCCACACATTGCTCATTCTTTGAATGAGATATTTAGTGTTGCATCTCAACCTTCTGTTGAATCTGAAGCCAATCAGGAGACCAGGAAGAAAGGAAGTGCTAAGAAATCAGTGGGTTCCAGAGATTTTGATGAGATAGACTTCCATATGTCTACTTCTGCTAAGTATCTCCTTATTTCAGCATTCCTTGCTTCAAGAAATCCCGCCACTCTTGATGCATCACTTTTTGATTCAACTGGGGGTTCTAACAGTCGCAAAAGAAAGAGGAAGTAAGTTTATTGGCAATCTGGTCTTTTAATTTATTTTAATTTTAGTATTACTTGAAAACCATGGTACTATGTAGTAGGATGTACAAATACTTTCACTTTTACTTCTAGAGCTATTTTGTCATTGTATTAATTGTGAGGTTAATTCTGCAAATTGAACAACATTCCCCATGTTTTTTTCCAAAATGATGAATGTATACTCAACTTATTATCTTTCCTCTGTATCAAATGGACTTTGAGTCAAAATTTTAGTTGCAACCTCTTGGTATTTTCATCAGTTTGTTGATCTTTATTTTTTTGAATAGATAGTATATCATCAGCATTTGTTAGGTACTAGACATTGATAATATGATGTTGCTCTATTGCATCTTTTACTTGTCAACATTTTAATTCTCTAGATTAACTACTTCCTGCTTAGGGTCTCTGAAAAATCAGTGGAAAGGAGGGAAGCAGAAGAAGAGGAGTTATTTATGAAAGGGCCTGGAACTTTCTCTTTGGAGAGATTATTAGCCATATTCCAGTGTATCACATCAGTAGGAGAAGATTCATTCGGTGAAGAGGGAGGAGCTGATGGTGTAACAGTTGAAGGAGAGAGTAATGGACTCATGTCTGATGTTCTCTTGCAACTATCCAGTCTCTGCAATGTTAATTTTATTGTCAAAGGAGGAAGCTGTCCTTTAGAGGGTTCAACTCGATATCGTTCTACAGTATCTGAAGATTTGGCTCTGAAGGTAAAAATTCTACAATTTTTACATTTATTACTGTTATTTGCATGATGATGATCTGTGTAATGCAATTTAATTCTCTCAATGATATTGTAAATTATTCAGTTACATACTTTGATCAATGTAGGTTGCAAGGAGCCTTAAGTTCCCTTTGTCAAAGTACTTGTTCAGAAGATAGTCAGTGATGTGAAGAGAAACTTGTATCATGGCCTTTTATCCGTTCCAGTGAAGAGAAATCTCAGAGACAAATCATATGGCCCATAATTTCAGATTCCCATGGTTTGTGCATGGCAAGTTGATTAACACACTCCTGGTACATATTAAGGGAGTGATTATGGGCATCAAGTAGATGAGATCAGTTTTTGATAGGAACTGTTAAAGAAATCTATATATGGTTTGATCAAAATACTGGTTTCTGGATAGTCAATGACTATCTTGCGCGTGTAATGGATTAGGGACTTGATGCAACCTAGTTGCTCTGTTTTATTTTATTTTTTTAGATCTGTATATGTTTATTTTTCATTCTTAGAATTCAAACATGTAAGCTTTATTTGAAAAGAGGCAACAGCAGATAGTATCGGCAGGAATTTGTAAAATTCTGAAGAAAGGGTTAGCTTATGCTACCACTTCTAAAAGGTCTGTTATGAGGACTGTTCTGTAAGGGCCACCCACAACCGGACCTGTTGACACCTTATAGGCCTAAGCATGAGGAGTGAAATAGGTCTTTAACTTTTTCAAACATCATGCCATGCCAGGACAATTGAACAAAATGTCATTGACAAACTCAAAAGAAAAATGTTCAGTGGGTACAGTTGCACTTGATAGATGCATGTTTGTTTGGATCAGTTGTCTTAATTCTTAAATACGGGAAATACGTGTATTTCTGTTTAGGTTTTCCAAAGGGAAACAACCATTGTTGATGTGTGACAAAAGCACAAAAAAATAGTTGGAGTAATTGATGTCTTAATTGACCATCAAGTTTGTATGAAAGCAATAAGGAAATTAATAAAACTAGTGGTGCAGTTGGTGACCTAAATTAATACAAAGACTTTAGTTGGCGTTTGAGATTGACCGCAACCTCATCCAATTTTATGAAATTTTATAACTCTCTGTTCCTTTGAACCATACGTGTTTCAAAAATAGGGTAGAAACCTCTGTTTTAAAACCCAGATCGGACTGGTTCGACCAGGACCTGATAGCTTCTCCGGTTCGATTCAGGTTGTAGAGGTTTTTTTTTATAGTATTTCAAATTTATAGGAACTAATTGAACTTTCTAGGGGTTTTTTGGAGATATGTCAAAAGTTTAGGGATTAATTGGTAATTTTTTGGGGTATTTTTAAAATAAATAAAAAATTTTGGGACTACTTTAAATTTTTTAGGGGTAATTTTATAATATACTAAAATTTAAGGGATTAATATATAATTTTAAAAAAAATAAAATTATTGCTATGTCACCAGTCCAACCGGTTGGACCGGTTGACCCGTGACCTAGGTAACAAAACAGGTAGCCCTCCGATCCAGGATTTAAAACAATGGTAGAAACTATCATTAACTTGGGCAAAAAATAAAATAAAGACTTTTCTCAATTTTGAAAATATTTGTTTAGGGATTTTTGTACCTTAAAATAATTAACAGGTATAATTATATACTACTACATTAGGAGGATTCATAAAATTTATTTCGGTGGCACTGTTCTCATTTCGAAAGTCAATATATATATTACAATTTCTTTATAGTCATAATGGTGAGACTAACTAATTTTATTATTATGAGGATGTTGTAACTTAATAAGAGGTATAGTTACAAAAATTTCTTATTAATTTTATATTTCATGTTTTAGTAGTACAGTATTAGTTAGGATTCTAATTCATGTTTTAATAGTATTAAATTTCAATTCAGCACTTTAATTGTCTACTTTTGAAACAGATAGAAGATTATGTCTTGGAACCAGCAAGGATAAGTGTCCTTAATGGAATTATAAATGTAGTTGTTATATGGTCAAGTTAATGTGAAGCCATATACAATTGCCAATTGTTTTAAGCATTACAAAATTAGAATCTCCAATGTCGATGAATTACAAGTTACAAATAAAGTGGATGAGGAAAACCAAAGAGTCATTGTAAAATTGAGTGATCAGATTTGATAACTTTATTACACTAATCGAATAGATATTAATATCTTTCTCAATCATCCAAATGAGCAACAAGTCATGTATGTTTTAAATGAAGAAGAAATCACTGCAACAATTAGACAATAAGAGAAATAAAATAATCAAAAGGATGATAATACGGAAATATAAAAAGTTCCATGCCAATAAGCTTTAAACATACTTGAGAAGTTAAAAATATTTTGATTTCAACAAGAAGATGTTCATGCTAGCAAGTATAGTACCTGCAAGTTAAAAGATGTGGTAACAACTCTAAAACATAAATTATTCTCTCAAACAACTTTAAATAAACATTTTATTTCATCTTAAACCTTTAATGTAAGGTATATATATATATATTTTGCAATATATAGATAATTATTACTATGTAGAAACAACTTTTCTTAAGACGGGAATTAAAAAAATTATAACTTATTATAATGTGGAGTTTATTCTTATTTATAACTATCCCAAATTGGAAATATAATTTTTTATATCTATATAGAGTTTATTTTTACATAGAGTATTATCATAGAAAGCTTTTACTGTATATATTTTTTTGTGATTAAGGGTGTTCGAATTAGTTTGCGTGCACCTTGACAAATCCTTTGAAACCCTGAAGTTAAAGACCGGATAAAGCATCTAGTAGCCATTTCTTTTAACAACCGAGAGAAATCAAAATCAAAATCAAAACCTCTTGAGTAATATACTTAAAAGTCTCTATCGCTACACCCAAAAGTCTATATTTAACATAACTAATAAAGGAAATTTGGGCAAATACGGCCCCATAATGGCTCGTTCGTTTATTTATTAAAGGTAGAATGACTTACACCTACCCAAGGTATGGAGAAACAACAGATTGGTACCCAAAAGGTTTAAAAAAGACAAACATGTACCTTTCGTTAGGGAAAAGACTATAATGCCCTTTGAGAAATATTAGTCTATTTTTTGAATTACTTTTAGACCCCTTAAGTTTATTAATTTCATCAAATACCCCCCAGAAAAAAGTTTAAAAATTAACAAAAACACCCCCACCCACCCATACTTGCCAGATTCCGGAGGCCACCGACGGTGGTAGCCGGAATCTGTCACAACAGTCTACGCTATCACCGAAAATGGTCGGTAGTTCACCGATCTGGCTGGAAAAGGCCAGATCTGGCTAGAAAGTGACAGCCAAAGATGTGGCCGTCGTTGTCTGTCAACGATGGCCAAAATTTGGCCATCACTTTCCAGCCAGATCTGGCCTTCTCACGTTAGATCTGGCCGAAAAAGGCCAGATCGGTGAACTATCGGCCATTTTCAGTGGTGGCCGCTGGAATCTGACAAGTATGGGTGAGTGGGGGTGTTTTTGTTAATTTTTAAATTTTTTTCTGGGAATATTTAATGGAATTAATAAACTTAAGGAGACTAAATGTAATTAAAAAAATAGACTAATATTTCTCAAGGGCATTATAGTCTTTTTCCTAATGGAAGGTACCTGTTCGTCTTTTTGAAACCTCTTGGGTATCAATTATCGTTTCTCCCAACCTTGGATAGGTGCATGTTGTTTCCTCTTTATTAAAAAGAAAAAAGAAAGAGAAAGTGAAAGTGACTCATAAATAGTTGTGCGGTGGCACGGTATCGAAACCCTTTTCTCAATTAATTTGAGGAAACGAACCGAAGTTTTAAAGTGGATAGAATTAATTTTTGGCGCGTTAGAATATGCGAACTCAATTAATTCTAGGACGGCAAGTTCTCAACCGATTGTATCATTAATAGTAATCTCCATTAATAATTTCATAAGACCAATGTTTTTTTTTTTTTTTTTTTTTTCAATTAAAAGCTTTTAAAGAAACATTTTAATTTCGATGATCAAACAGTTTCTTGCACGGCATAAGAAAGACCTCAATTAGAAGCTGACCAATCTTAATTGCCTATCTAGATGCATCAGTCCAACTAATATTAGCCAAGCCACCCATTGTAATATATTGCTTTCCCCCCACCCCCCCCCCCCCCCCCCCCCAAAAGTAATAGTCAAGTTGCTTAAAGGAGTTTTGACCCGACTATTAAAATGGATAACACAAACAATAAATATTAATTACTTACAAAATAAGTTTGGTTGATGATTACCTAACAGGGTTTTGCACACCAAGCTTCAAATACTTTTATTTAATTAATGTGGCAGCTGGAACTGGAAGTGAATTAATGGAGGCAAGAAAGACCATATTGTAATTTGATCGATCTAATAAATTTTCATTAAATATTAGGTTTTCAGGAGTCTCTTTTTTTTTTTTCACAAGTTATTAGCTATTGGATGATATATATTTTGGGGTCAATGATTCTTAAATATTTGTTGACTTTATCCACCTACAGAAATTACGGGAGTTTACAACATCATAAATATTTTGTAATAGTAATCAGCTGCCAACAGTCAACTAATTAAATAATAATTTTGTAGAAATAGAAATCAATGGAGAAAAGAAGAAAACAAAAATATCAATGAAGCATGAAAATTAGGAGTGCCGATCGGAGTAAGCCATCTGCCTTCTGGTGCGCTTAATCTACATTTGACTTTGCTTTTTTTAATAGATATCAGACGCACTGGGCACGCATTTTCTTATCATACAAGCATTAAAAGACCAAGGTCAACCGTTAGATGAGTCTCGAGAATTTGTTTTAATCGGAAACATATAAAAGATGAACAGTAATATTATTAGTATATGCATGGCAGAGAGGCAAAGTTTATAAGATTGTTGGCGAGTTGCTCACCGAACCCTAACCAAAGTCCGCATGACGAACCCATGCATTTTCATTCAAGTATTTTTATCCAGAGAAAACTAATATAAATCAGAGTTACAATATGGTCATACATTACACCAACCTAGAAACAGTGTGTCTTTTGTGACCCTTTTTATTTTTTATATTCAGTTCATCGTTTTGTGTTTTTTTTTTCTTCTATGGTATCAGCTAGGTGCTCTGGCTCCTCAACCAACCACATTAAATTCTCTTCATTGAATGCATTGAATTAAAGACTCTTTTCTTTCCTGCAAAATTAGGTGTAGAAAAGAGAAGAGAGAGATCTAGTCAAATTTTGATGAGGTTGTAAGGATTAACTGTGTGCATGCGTTTTCTTTGGGTTGATATTAGATAAGAGTTTTTAGCTTATAAAAGTTTCAACGAACTTCTTCTAGGGTATTTATGATGGTTCATCTGATGGTTGCAGAGAGAGAAAGAGTAAGATGGTGCAATTCAAAAGAACAGTCTGGCCTTAATAATTGCTTTTGAATGTAGTTTCACCTATAAAATACGTCTCTAAAACTCTCATTTTGTTCTATCTATCTATCACACTCCTATTTCCTTCTCTTTCTCTCTGCGTTTTACTTGTTTTGCTCTTTTAGATCTCTTTCAACCTTCATTTTCTTTACAAATAAAGCTTATATCAAAAACACAGCCTTTCACTTTATTATCTTCACCCAAGTTTCTTGCATTGTTAAGGTAACTTCTTTTCTATTTTCCCGGAGAAAAATAATTCTCTATAATATCGGTCACATTGTTTTTCTTCCCCATCACCGACTATATATGGATATAGCTACTGCTTTGCTTCTGTTTTCGGCTGTCACGGCTTATCTACTGTGGCTCACATTCATCTCACGCACCTTGAAAGGTCCACGTGTTTGGCCTCTATTCGGCAGTCTCCCGGGTTTGATTGAAAACTGTGATCGTATGCATGACTGGATCTGCGACAATCTTCGCGCGTGTGGTGGCACGTACCAGACCTGCATCTGTGCAATTCCATTCCTCGCCAGAAAGCAAGGTCTTGTGACTGTCACGTGCGATCCTAAAAATGTAGAGCACATATTAAAGACCCGCTTCGAAAATTACCCCAAGGGACCCACTTGGCAAGCCGTGTTCCATGATCTACTTGGTGAAGGGATCTTCAATTCTGATGGTGACACGTGGCTGTTCCAGAGAAAGACTGCCGCATTGGAATTCACCACCAGGACTCTGCGCCAAGCCATGACTCGCTGGGTTAGCCGAGCCATTAAGCTTAGGTTCTGTCCGATTCTTGAGTCTGCTCAGCTCGCCGCTCAGCCGGTTGATCTACAAGACTTATTGCTTCGCCTCACGTTTGATAACATTTGTGGCTTGGCGTTTGGGAAGGATCCGCAAACCTGCGCGTCTGGCCTTCCCGAAAACAGCTTCGCATGGGCTTTCGACAGAGCCACTGAAGCTTCGCTTCAACGTTTTATTTTGCCGGAAATCTTGTGGAAGCTGAAGAAATGGCTGAGGATGGGCATGGAAGTGAGCTTGAGCCGGAGCCTAGTCCACATCGATAAGTATTTATCCGAGGTAATCAATGCACGTAAGCTGGAGTTGCTGAATCAGCAAAAAGATGGGAACCCACACGATGACTTGCTCTCAAGGTTTATGAAGAAAAAAGAATCATACTCGGATGAATTTCTCAAACACGTGGCACTTAACTTTATCCTAGCTGGACGTGACACGTCATCAGTAGCGTTGAGCTGGTTCTTTTGGTTGGTCATACAAAATCCATCAATCGAAGAGAAAATCTTATTTGAATTATGCGGTGTCTTAATTGAAACACGTGGTGATGACACGTCAAAGTGGTTTGAGGAGCCGTTAGGGTTTGAAGAAGTTGACCGTTTGATATACTTAAAAGCAGCATTATCAGAAACCCTAAGGCTGTACCCTTCGGTACCAGAGGACTCAAAGCACGTGATCTCCGACGACGTATTACCGGACGGAACATTCGTGCCAGCAGGTTCATCAGTTACGTATTCGATATATGCAACAGGGAGAATGAGGTCGACGTGGGGAGATGATTGCCTAGAGTTTCGTCCAGAGAGATGGTTGTCGTCTGACGGGAAGAAATTTGTGATGCATGATTCCTATAAATTTGTTGCATTTAATGCAGGGCCGAGAATATGTTTGGGGAAGGATTTGGCTTACTTGCAAATGAAGTCGGTGGCAGCAGCGGCGTTACTGCGGCATCGACTGACGGTGGTGGCGGGACACAAGGTAGAGCAAAAGATGTCATTGACTTTGTTTATGAAATATGGGCTGAAGGTAAATGTGCATAAAAGAGAATTAGAGGGGATTGTAGGAAGAATTAAGGAGAAAAAGGAGGGAGAATTATTGCAATTACATGATGAGAGTAATAAATGTAGTGGTAATGGTGGGGTAAGGGTTGACGAAATGGTAGGTGGTGTTGTTTAAGGTGGTTTTTAATTTGGAGTGTTGGTGGTTTCATGGAAGTAGTATATTTAAGGCGAGGGGACGGACAATGGCTACGAAGCTGTTCAAGTTACGGTGGATCAATTTCATGTCATGTGCAACATTGTGTTTATGTTTCCCACGGGTTGTCAGCAGAAAAAAATTAAAGAGGACGGAGCTTCTACATAGATCATAGTAGTATCATGATATAGATCTCTGCTTTCAATTCCATCAATATTCTCACGAGAGAAAGATAACCATTATAAATTCCTTACTTTAATTTATTTTTCTTGCAGGAAGATGTTTCGTTAGTCTATAAAATTCTTTATTTTCTTTTTGTTTAACTGGATATTACAGGTTGATCATTAAGTTATAGTTTTTTTTGTTTATTATAAATTAATGTCAATAAAATGTTCTTCATTGAAATAAATTATTGGAGATACTTTCTTCGAAATAGGAGTACTCCTCAGTCCGAGGATTTGATGATTCCTTTTCTTTTTAATAGGAATAATCGTAAGATTCTTTATGTCACTTAACTATATTTCTGATCGATTGTTTCTGCAACTTGGTCATGACTAATTCTTAGAATATATGTATATATTTTCTAGTTATGAGGACAAGATTTGGATACGACTAATCTTTAAGAGAGAAAATGGGGAAAAATACCATCGGCAAGACAGCACACAAATTGAATGACAACACTCTCTCAAAATCATGTGTTACATTTTATGCGTCCACCCGACCTAAATTCTTGGGACAAGAGACAGTGAAAAGCCCATTCAATTTAGTTCCTGCGATTACGCTTTTTAGTATGGACTATAGGTAAACCTCAGGCCCAATGGGCTCAAGAAAACCCCGGGCCCAATGGGCTCAAGAAAACCCCTACAACTGACACAAGATCTGTCAAACTGTCACAGATCACTGCAAAGGAATGTAGGTGCATTCTGATAGTTTATTTATTCAGGCAAACAGCAGATGAGGCGTACTTTAAACTTCAAAGCATTATATGGGCAATGGAGAAGGTTCTTGGGTGCAAAACTGCAAATTACCCAAGCAGTGTCAGAAACATGTAAATGAAAAAAAAAAAAAAAAAAAAAAAAAAAGCCATCAACCTGTATTAAGGTCTCAAGTCAACTCAAAAGTTGTCAGAAGTCAATTCAAGGGCCTCAAAAGTTGACGAAAAACTTTCATAAATCATAATAGCATCTTTAAGACTTCTTCATGAGGGTTTCAATTTTCACCCCAGCATGTGTGTATAGATATCTCAAGCCTTATGATTTTCCTGTCATTTCTTTATAACTTGGCTCCTTTTTCTTCAGTTATTAATTTATACCCTCCATCTTCCTCTCATTCTTGCACTACTTTGTCTAATCCAGAATTTTCTCTCCAGTTGCAAATAAGTTCCAAACTAATGTGCCGATGAGGTATAATGCAACAGCTACCTTGAATACGTCATCCCAAGTACCTGCAAAGATAGAGCCCCAGAGATGAAAGATAGACAATAAATAAAAAATTAAAATGTCCACAATAGACTAGGACTGCTATACCTCTTTGGAGTATGTAACCAGTTGCAGCGGTACCAAAAACACCCGCTAGCACTCCTGCTGTGTTTGATAGCCCTAACAGAACTCCCTGTCATTGATACAAGAAAGAGATTTTAAGTTAATCAAGCAAATTATTTAAACAAAACAATGAAAATCAGTTCTCTGCTGGAAGATCACACATAATTAAACTAATAACTCCTCAACTGGGTTTGAATTCCAAGTACAAAATCTCTGTTTACCATTGTGGAACTAAAAGTAGCAGTTAACCAATGAGCTTAAAAATATATTGATATATGTTGTCTAAGAGTTTCTAAATATTCATTAATGTGTTATGGGCAAAATCATTTCAGAGTTGGACAATTGCAAGTGCCATATCCTGTAGTCCTTGAAATCTATAGTTATGTTGAACTATGGAAGATAGCAATAACTCACAGCATAGCGTGGCCCAATGTCTTGGTGATTGGAATAAAGACCAGATTGTGAGAATGCATCTGAGCCCTGTAAACAAGAAGGTATGAATAATTCATCAGGTTTATAACAAGATAGACAGTTGTATCTAAACTACACTAAATCAGCATACACTATCTTGTGTGCATTGATTGTATATGATTACTGTGACTATTTAAATACAGCATAGGAAGGGTATGGTCATCATAACAGAAAAACTATAATATAAACAGCAACTTCTGATTTTCATTAAAGATGAGTTATATCCCCTTTTTATAAAATAGTTAGTTGCATTGGCTCTTGTTCAGTGAAGTGGAACAGTATGCCTCCTTTTCCTTCCCATGCCAGATACTGCTTTTATGGCCTTTTAAGATCAATCTGTTGAATTGTTGAGCAGGTAACAAGTAGCTTCTTCTAGTTTGTTTCTGACAGACAAACATTATTTGGACTATGCTCACTGCACTTATATTATTTAAACCTAAATATCTGAAGGAGCTGCCCCAGATGGTGACAATGTTATTAGCTTTCAGTATCTATAATTTTCGGTACAATTATAACTGCCAATTGTTGAGGATTTCACTGTAAAAATCAATATTTTCTACACATCTTACTTCTAGTGTGATGTACGCAATACTTAGCAACTGACAGCAGAGCTTTAATAACATATAATTGAAGATGATTAAATAAATCGACTTAGGTGAAACTGACATAAAAAGAGATCAAACCTGACTGCATGCCATGCATAGCACTGCCATTGCAGGAGTCCTGACTTTGCTCAGCTGTGTGAGAAAGAAAGCTGGGCCCAGAAACCCAATTGATTGCATGATCTGCAAAATTGAAAAGGATGGAAAAAAATTATTTCCAATTGGTTGAATACCATTTATAAACCACGGTATGGTTGCTTGGTTGTACCCTTGTGGCACTATCCATATGGATAAGATCGATATAAATTAGAATGATATGTGATAACATCCATATTCAGCTGCAAATGTTCCTAAGAAATTACCGTAAGAATCAACCACAGTGTTAATGTCTTACCTTACGAACTGCAGTTATGGAAAGACCTTTGCTCACAAGTGTGTCCGCAATCCAGCCTCCAAGATTTGCAAAAGCTGCCATTGTCAACCAGGGCAAGACACAGAGGAGTCCGGATTCAGTGAGGTTGAACTTCAAGACCTGAGAAAACAAAATAGTTTTATAAGCTTCGTTATGATCATTATAATTATGTCATTATAAAGCACTTGGCCCAATCAACTGCATTGCTTAGAAAAACCATGAAATGAAAGAAAACAAGACACTAATTTATGTCTACCAACCAGGTCACTTTATAAGGTTTATGACCTGCATAGCTAAGTATAATAATATGGGAAGTGTATGCTGGCGAGAGCACTGGTGAGAAACTGGCCATGAAACATGGTTCTAACAGAGATGACCCTACACCAAAAGTAAAAAGGGAGAGAGCTGAAGAGAATTTTGTACCTGGACCGTGGCCACTGAAAACTCAGAATTTCAAGAGGTTTCTAAAACTAAAGGATAAGCAATGTCCAAGAAAACTTGGATAAAACACTACTATAAAGCAAAAAGGTTCATTGTCACATCTAACATTTGCATCCCCACTGTCAGGTAACTTAAATCACATACAGAAACTAATATTACCAATCTCATAATGAAGATACCTGATTATAGTATGTAGGCATCCATGTCAACAGTATAAAAGTGCCCCAATTGTGGCAGAAGTGAGAAATTATGAGAGCCCAGACAGGTGCTTTTGATAATATTAATTTCCAGGGAATCACTGAAACAGGTTCCTTTGACACGCTGCCACCCAATATAAATTTCTTTTCTTCAGCTCTAAGCTCTGGGTCTTCTTTAGGAGAGCTGTACGCCTGGGAAGAAAACAATAAATAAGGAAAATGTTACTTCAGATTTACATTTAACAAATGACTACCATTCAAATATTGTCTAATCTAAGGGAAGCAACAATTTCTGGTGTCCAGCCATTACACAGTTACTGCATGAGAAAAAAAGTAGGCTCGGTTTGTTTTTATTTTAATAATTCAACATATTGTCAAAACAGTACCACTAGATATTGCAACCTAACACGTAAAAATGAAAATTGCTTTCTTGAGATAGGTGAATTAGATGTATCATCAGCAGAACAATTAGGAGAATCATCTACTTACTTTTTTCAGCCACAATGCAAACCAGATGCTTCCCAGGGAGCCAAATGAATAGAAGACAGACGGCCACCCAAATTTGTGGATTAGAATAGGAGAGATGGCCAACCCAGTAACAGAACCAAGATACATTCCGCTATACACTAGGGCAAGCGATCTGCTTCTCTCCGACACTGGAATCCACCTAGATAATATGTTATTCATTGCAGGCATAGCAACACCCTGTAAAGAGATTCTCACCAATAAGAACACTTTGGTCCGTTATTAAAGGTCAAATCCTACATCTAGGAAGCAGGAAGCACTGATACTACATCATTCAAAGTATATAATGGTGTATATTTACGTCATTTTATAATTTCAAAACAGTTAAATACAAAGTAAGACACTATGAGCCACAAAGACCACATGCCAAATAAAAAGTTGTAACAATTGTAGCATCAAAGTCTAACCACCAAGACTAGACATTGAAATTTTAATTTTTCTAATATTCATAAGGTCAATTTATTTCATCTGTCCTCCTCATCTTCTAACCGTTAAGTTGTACCTATCCTTCCTACCATTTAAGCAAATGATTCAGAACAAGAGAAGGAACTTCAACAAGCAAATGATAAACTTATTCACTATGGACTAGTAAAGAATAACAAAGTCAAAGAATAAGAAGATGCCAACCTCTCCAATCCCCATAAAAGCACGCATGATAAGCAAAAAAGGAAGTCCGATTTTTGCAGCAATAGGTGTCAAAACAGTTGCTATTGACCACCAGACCACTCCAAAACCCAATACTAGCTTGCCACCAATTTTATCTGCCCATATGCCTCCAACAATCTACGTGCCACAAAAGTAAGAAAAGTTTTGTTAAATTAAAAGATTGCAGGAGGATATTCAAAGATCATTAATTGGTTGATACAGAACTTTTGCAGTGCCAAGTCATAAAGATTAAAGTACATCCTTCAGGACAAAACAAGTCAATCATAGAAAGTACTCAGCTGCTTGCTGGTGCTTTTATAGAGGGATTAACTATAAATTCTTAAATCCGATTTTGTGTATCTCTAAGGTATACAAGGTAATTTGAACTGCACCTGAGTGAGTAGATAGCCCCAGAAAAAGGAGGACTGAATTAAACCCACTGTTGCACTGTTCCAGTTGAATTCTTGTGACATGGGAAGTATTGCAATGCTCATGTTCACCTACATAAAACATTTGAATTAGCCCACTTGTAAAGAACAAGACATAAAATAAACAGCTGGGTTCAACAAACTTGTTGGAAGTGTTCAATTCTCATGTTTATCAAAATGAAACATTCAGTTGCCAATTCAATATGACATTGGTTGTTAGATATAGCTAGAGAAGGCACCTAACACCAACTTGAAAATAATTAAATTTGACATGTCAAGGAATTTTGTTGAATAAAGAAAACTTTGAACAAGAAATGTCTCAGTAAATACACAATTAGAGAAAAACAAAATACTCACACGATCCATGTTGCACAATAGAAATGCCATAAAACAGAGCAGTACAATCACCCAGCGTTTAGGAAATTGTTCCAACCAAGAAGATGTTTCATGCACATTTCCTTCCAGTAGAACGCCTTGCACTTCTGCTGATGTCAAAGAGTCCACCTTTGCTTCTGTTTTGTCATACTCCTCAGATTTGTAGAAAGCACGAATTCTGTTCACCTTAGCATGCTTGGATTGCAAGGATTTCCAATGGCCAGTTTCAATCCTATCTACTGCTCTTGGTTGAAGCCAACTACCAAGTGAATGTTCTGAGGAAAGATGACATTCACATCTTACACTACATCTTTGTCGAAGATAAATTCTGTGAAACTTTTCATTACATCTTATGGACAAAGGATGTCCCTTCCAGAGGTGACAATGTGTGTATCCAGATATTAAGCCATTGGCCATTTGACTACGCAACTTTTGGTAGAACATGCTTCCTTGTACATTCCGGGCCACAGCAACGCCTGCTCGTTCTCTCCTGAGATGTGAAATAGTTTGATCCTTTTCACATATTTTCCCTGCCCAACATCAAGAAGCACTTTAGAGAGGTTCACCAAAACCACGTAACACTCAATCACACAAACTTTCCGAATGACCAGTCCAAATGTGACATAGATCCTCACCCTCTAAAAAAGTCTGACAATAAACTACAAAACAATCATCATAAATTTAAGTGCAGCAGCTTTAAGACCTTTCTAAAATATCAACAAATGATATTAGCAGTTACAGAGGTAATAATATTATAATAGTTGTAGAGAGACAAATCAGCAATATACAGATCAGTAATACTATATTTACCGACCCAAATACCGATTTTTATATACCGACTCACTACCCAACAACCCAAATCTCAAAATTTAACCCAGAGTGAGTATGTCAAATCGGTCCTGGGTCGGTAAGCCTAGCATTACTGTATACAGATTGCTTACTCTATTTCTTTATCCCAAATTTTACATTTATTTATTGAAAATGTGGGGCCACTTCTCATAAAGCTTACATACTTTAATGGACACGTTTCACACAGAGTTATGGGCGTTACCGACTAGGCGGACTTTCCAAAGTTTCTCCTCAGAAAATAATCAAGAACCTTTTTCTTCTAGACAAACCTCAAATTTATCGAAGTCTAAACAATAGTTAATAAACTATCAAAATAACTGCATGCAGTATTAGCTCTGTTCCGATTAAGCAAAAGTTGTTGCAATCAGATTAAAAGAACAGCCACATATAGATAAAAAGTCTCAGTCCCAATTTGAACCTATCAATTACTCACTGGATGCCGAGATACATCTTCTCCGGTCAATGAATTGAAGGAGATGAAATTGCATAGAGTAGAAGAAACTATTAATAACAACAATAAATGGTAACCAGTTAACTGTTAGCAAAATTTTATATATTTGTAAACAACATAATAATTCCAGATAACAGGTAACTTAAATCACAACGAAACTAATATTACTAATCTCATAATGAAGATACCTGATTATAGTATGTAGGCATCCATGTCAACAGTATAAAACGTGCCCCATTGTGGCAAATGAGAAATTATGAGAGCCCAGACAGGTGCTTTTGTAAATTAATTTCCGGGAATCACTGAAAGGTTCCTTTGACACGTTGCCACCCAATATAAATTTCTTTTCTTCAGCTCTAAGTTCTGGGTCTTCTTTGGAGAGCTGTACGCCTGGGAAGAAAACAATAATATAGGAAAATGTTACTTCAGATTTACATTTAACAAATGACTACCATTCAAATATGTCTATCTAAGGGAAGCAACAATTTCTGTGTCCAGCCATTACAGTTACTGCATGAAGAAAAAGTAGCTCGGTTTTGTTTTTATTTTAATAATTCAACATATTGTCAAAACAGTACCACTAGATATTGCAACCTAACACGTAAAATGAAAATTGCTTTCTTGAGATGGTGAATTAGATGTATCATCGCAGAACAATTAGGAGAATCACTACTTACTTTTTTCAGCCACAATGCAAACCAGATCTTCCCAGGGAGCCAATGAATAGAAGACAGACGGCCCCCCCAATTTTGTGATTAGAATAGGAGATGGCCAACCCAGTAACAGAACAAGATACTTCCGCTATACACTAGGGCAGCGTCTGCTTCTCTCCGCCACTGGAATCCACTAGTAATATGTTATTCATTGCAGGCATAGCAACACCCTGTAAAGAATTCTCACCAATAAAACACTTTGGTCCTTATTAAAGGTCAAATCCTACATCTAGGAACGGGAAGCACTGATACTACATCATTCAAAGTATATAATGGTGTATATTTACGTCATTTTATAATTTCAAAACATTAAATACAAAGTAAGACACTATGAGCCACAAAGACCACATGCCAAATAAAAAGTTGTAGCATTGACTGTATTAAGGTCTCAAGTCAACTCAAAAGTTGTCAGAAGTCAATTCAAGGGCCTCAAAAGTTGACGAAAAACTTTCATAAATCATAATAGCATCTTTAAGACTTCTTCATGAGGGTTTCAATTTTCACCCCAGCATGTGTGTATAGATATCTCAAGCCTTATGATTTTCCTGTCATTTCTTTATAACTTGGCTCCTTTTTCTTCAGTTATTAATTTATACCCTCCATCTTCCTCTCATTCTTGCACTACTTTGTCTAATCCAGAATTTTCTCTCCAGTTGCAAATAAGTTCCAAACTAATGTGCCGATGAGGTATAATGCAACAGCTACCTTGAATACGTCATCCCAAGTACCTGCAAAGATAGAGCCCCAGAGATGAAAGATAGACAATAAATAAAAAATTAAAATGTCCACAATAGACTAGGACTGCTATACCTCTTTGGAGTATGTAACCAGTTGCAGCGGTACCAAAAACACCCGCTAGCACTCCTGCTGTGTTTGATAGCCCTAACAGAACTCCCTGTCATTGATACAAGAAAGAGATTTTAAGTTAATCAAGCAAATTATTTAAACAAAACAATGAAAATCAGTTCTCTGCTGGAAGATCACACATAATTAAACTAATAACTCCTCAACTGGGTTTGAATTCCAAGTACAAAATCTCTGTTTACTATTGTGGAACTAAAAGTAGCAGTTAACCAATGAGCTTAAAAATATACGGATATGTGTTGTCTAATAGTTTCTAAATATTCATTAATGTGTTATGGGCAAAATCATTTCAGAGTTGGACAATTGCAAGCGCCATATCCTTTAGTCCTTGAAATCTATAGTTATGTTGAACTATGGAAGATAGCAATAACTCACAGCATAGCGTGGCCCAATGTCTTGGTGATTGGAATAAAGACCAGATTGTGAGAATGCATCTGAGCCCTGTAAACAAGAAGGTATGAATAATTCATCAGGTTTATAACAAGATAGACAGTTGTATCTAAACTACACTAAATCAGCATACACTATCTTGTGTGCATTGATTGTATATGATTACTGTGACTATTTAAATACAGCATAGGAAGGGTATGGTCATCATAACAGAAAAACTATAATATAAACAGCAACTTCTGATTTTCATTAAAGATGAGTTATATCCCCTTTTTATAAAATAGTTAGTTGCATTGGCTCTTGTTCAGTGAAGTGGAACAGTATGCCTCCTTTTCCTTCCCATGCCAGATACTGCTTTTATGGCCTTTTAAGATCAATCTGTTGAATTGTTGAGCAGGTAACAAGTAGCTTCTTCTAGTTTGTTTCTGACAGACAAACATTATTTGGACTATGCTCACTGCACTTATATTATTTAAACCTAAATATCTGAAGGAGCTGCCCCAGATGGTGACAATGTTATTAGCTTTCAGTATCTATAATTTTCGGTACAATTATAACTGCCAATTGTTGAGGATTTCACTGTAAAAATCAATATTTTCTACACATCTTACTTCTAGTGTGATGTACACAATACTTAGCAACTGACAGCAGAGCTTTAATAACATATAATTGAAGATGATTAAATAAATCGACTTAGGTGAAACTGACATAAAAAGAGATCAAACCTGACTGCATGCCATGCATAGCACTGCCATTGCAGGAGTCCTGACTTTGCTCAGCTGTGTGAGAAAGAAAGCTGGGCCCAGAAACCCAATTGATTGCATGATCTGCAAAATTGAAAAGGATGGAAAAAAATTATTTCCAATTGGTTGAATACCATTTATAAACCACGGTATGGTTGCTTGGTTGTACCCTTGTGGCACTATCCATATGGATAAGATCTATATAAATTAGAATGATATGTGATAACATCCATATTCAGCTGCAAATGTTCCTAAGAAATTACCGTAAGAATCAACCACAGTGTTAATGTCTTACCTTACGAACTGCAGTTATGGAAAAACCTTTGCTCACAAGTGTGTCCGCAATCCAGCCTCCAAGATTTGCAAAAGCTGCCATTGTCAACCAGGGCAAGACACAGAGGAGTCCGGATTCAGTGAGGTTGAACTTCAAGACCTGAGAAAACAAAATAGTTTTATAAGCTTCGTTATGATCATTATAATTATGTCATTATAAAGCCCTTGGCCCAATCAACTGCATTGCTTAGAAAAACCATGAAATGAAAGAAAGAAAGACACTAATTTATGTCTACCAACCAGATCACTTTATAAGGTTTATGACCTGCATAGCTAAGTATAATAATATGGGAAGTGTATGCTGGCGAGAGCACTGGTGAGAAACTGGCCATGAAACATGGTTCTAACAGAGATGACCCTACACCAAAAGTAAAAAGGGAGAGAGCTGAAGAGAATTTTGTACCTGGACCGTGGCCACTGAAAACTCAGAATTTCAAGAGGTTTCTAAAACTAAAGGATAAGCAATGTCCAAGAAAACTTGGATAAAACACTACTATAAAGCAAAAAGGTTCATTGTCACATCTAACATTTGCATCCCCACTGTCAGGTAACTTAAATCACATACAGAAACTAATATTACTAATCTCATAATGAAGATACCTGATTATAGTATGTAGGCATCCATGTCAACAGTATAAACGTGCCCCAATTGTGGCAGAAGTGAGAAATTATGAGAGCCCAGACAGGTGCTTTTGATAATATTAATTTCCAGGGAATCACTGAAACAGGTTCCTTTGACACGTTGCCACCCAATATAAATTTCTTTTCTTCAGCTCTAAGTTCTGGGTCTTCTTTAGGAGAGCTGTACGCCTGGGAAGAAAACAATAAATAAGGAAAATGTTACTTCAGATTTACATTTAACAAATGACTACCATTCAAATATTGTCTAATCTAAGGGAAGCAACAATTTCTGGTGTCCAGCCATTACACAGTTACTGCATGAGAAAAAAAGTAGGCTCGGTTTGTTTTTATTTTAATAATTCAACATATTGTCAAAACAGTACCACTAGATATTGCAACCTAACACGTAAAAATGAAAATTGCTTTCTTGAGATAGGTGAATTAGATGTATCATCAGCAGAACAATTAGGAGAATCATCTACTTACTTTTTTCAGCCACAATGCAAACCAGATGCTTCCCAGGGAGCCAAATGAATAGAAGACAGACGGCCACCCAAATTTGTGGATTAGAATAGGAGAGATGGCCAACCCAGTAACAGAACCAAGATACATTCCGCTATACACTAGGGCAAGCGATCTGCTTCTCTCCGACACTGGAATCCACCTAGATAATATGTTATTCATTGCAGGCATAGCAACACCCTGTAAAGAGATTCTCACCAATAAGAACACTTTGGTCCGTTATTAAAGGTCAAATCCTACATCTAGGAAGCAGGAAGCACTGATACTACATCATTCAAAGTATATAATGGTGTATATTTACGTCATTTTATAATTTCAAAACAGTTAAATACAAAGTAAGACACTATGAGCCACAAAGACCACATGCCAAATAAAAAGTTGTAACAATTGTAGCATCAAAGTCTAACCACCAAGACTAGACATTGAAATTTTAATTTTTCTAATATTCATAAGGTCAATTTATTTCATCTGTCCTCCTCATCTTCTAACCGTTAAGTTGTACCTATCCTTCCTACCATTTAAGCAAATGATTCAGAACAAGAGAAGGAACTTCAACAAGCAAATGATAAACTTATTCACTATGGACTAGTAAAGAATAACAAAGTCAAAGAATAAGAAGATGCCAACCTCTCCAATCCCCATAAAAGCACGCATGATAAGCAAAAAAGGAAGTCCGATTTTTGCAGCAATAGGTGTCAAAACAGTTGCTATTGACCACCAGACCACTCCAAAACCCAATACTAGCTTGCCACCAATTTTATCTGCCCATATGCCTCCAACAATCTACGTGCCACAAAAGTAAGAAAAGTTTTGTTAAATTAAAAGATTGCAGGAGGATATTCAAAGATCATTAATTGGTTGATACAGAACTTTTGCAGTGCCAAGTCATAAAGATTAAAGTACATCCTTCAGGACAAAACAAGTCAATCATAGAAAGTACTCAGCTGCTTGCTGGTGCTTTTATAGAGGGATTAACTATAAATTCTTAAATCCGATTTTGTGTATCTCTAAGGTATACAAGGTAATTTGAACTGCACCTGAGTGAGTAGATAGCCCCAGAAAAAGGAGGACTGAATTAAACCCACTGTTGCACTGTTCCAGTTGAATTCTTGTGACATGGGAAGTATTGCAATGCTCATGTTCACCTACATAAAACATTTGAATTAGCCCACTTGTAAAGAACAAGACATAAAATAAACAGCTGGGTTCAACAAACTTGTTGGAAGTGTTCAATTCTCATGTTTATCAAAATGAAACATTCAGTTGCCAATTCAATATGACATTGGTTGTTAGATATAGCTAGAGAAGGCACCTAACACCAACTTGAAAATAATTAAATTTGACATGTCAAGGAATTTTGTTGAATAAAGAAAACTTTGAACAAGAAATGTCTCAGTAAATACACAATTAGAGAAAAACAAAATACTCACACGATCCATGTTGCACAATAGAAATGCCATAAAACAGAGCAGTACAATCACCCAGCGTTTAGGAAATTGTTCCAACCAAGAAGATGTTTCATGCACATTTCCTTCCAGTAGAACGCCTTGCACTTCTGCTGATGTCAAAGAGTCCACCTTTGCTTCTGTTTTGTCATACTCCTCAGATTTGTAGAAAGCACGAATTCTGTTCACCTTAGCATGCTTGGATTGCAAGGATTTCCAATGGCCAGTTTCAATCCTATCTACTGCTCTTGGTTGAAGCCAACTACCAAGTGAATGTTCTGAGGAAAGATGACATTCACATCTTACACTACATCTTTGTCGAAGATAAATTCTGTGAAACTTTTCATTACATCTTATGGACAAAGGATGTCCCTTCCAGAGGTGACAATGTGTGTATCCAGATATTAAGCCATTGGCCATTTGACTACGCAACTTTTGGTAGAACATGCTTCCTTGTACATTCCGGGCCACAGCAACGCCTGCTCGTTCTCTCCTGAGATGTGAAATAGTTTGATCCTTTTCACATATTTTCCCTGCCCAACATCAAGAAGCACTTTAGAGAGGTTCACCAAAACCACGTAACACTCAATCACACAAACTTTCCGAATGACCAGTCCAAATGTAACATAGATCCTCACCCTCTAAAAAAGTCTTGACCATAAACTACAAAACAATCATCATAAATTTAAGTGCAGCAGCTTTAAGACCTTTCTAAAATATTAACAAATGATATTAGCAGTTACAGAGGTAATAATATTATAATAGTTGTAGAGAGACAAATCAGCAATATACAGATTGCTTACTCTGTTTCTTTATCCCAAATTTTACATTTATTTATTGAAAATGTCGTGCCACTTCTCATAAAGCTTACATACTTTAATGGACACGTTTCACACAGAGTTATGGGCGTTACCGACTAGGCGGACTTTCCAAAGTTTCTCCTCAGAAAATAATCAAGAACCTTTTTGTTCTAGACAAACCTCAAATTTATCGGAGTCTAAACAATAGTTAATAAACTATCAAAATAACTGCATGCAGCATTAGCTCTGTTCCGATTAAGCAAAAGTTGCTACAATCAGATTAAAAGAACAGCCACCTATAGATAAAAAGTCTCAGTCCCAATTTGAAACTATCAATTACTCGCTGGATGCCGAGATACATCTTCTCCGGTCAATGAATTGAAGGAGATGAAATTGCATAGAGTAGAAGAAACTATTAATAACAACAATAAATGGTATCCAGTTAACTGTTAGCAAAATTTTATATATTTGTAAACAACATAATAATTCCAGATAATCCAACACTTCTCCCATCTACTTTAAAATAAAATTCAATTCAATAAAAGATATAGAATTATCAAAACAAAATGCCACCGTCCATTACATAAAAAATTGAGATAAATCCTCCAAGAAGAATATAAAATTATCGAAATGCAGCCGTTGAGCTCCATATCCGAAGCAGAAAAAAAAATTACAGTGAAAGACACGTATACAACAACGGAGCTATTTTTTTTTTTTTTATGTCAGTGAAAATTAATCTAAACCACATATTGAAGTTCATACCTGAACCGATAAAAGAACCGAAATCCCGGCTAGAAATGAAACTGCCGATAGCCATTGGTTTAATACAAGTTTTGAAGACTAAGCTGAGAGCTAATCTATAACATTACAGAATTCAACAACTAAAGGGAGATTCTAGTAGACGTCACTGTTTTTAAGCTCCCGTCTATGTGCAGCTCTGGTCTCTTAGCTCAGAGAGAGGATAAACGGAGTGGTTCTTTTTTTTTTTTTTTCCCCAAGGAGATTTTAAAAAGCGGGAAGTATCTCAGTGGTTTATAATATTCCAAGTAAAAGAGGGTGGAGAGGACGACACGTGGCATCATCATCTTTGTGAAGGAAGTAACGGACAAATTTATACAAATACCCCTCCATGCAAAGAGAAATAACGTTTATTTTAGTGCGAGGCAATGGTAAAATGATGAGTCAGAGATGGGTAGTTTGGAGAATAAAGTTGAGGCAATCTGAGCCGTGCTTACCGAGGAGGCTTTCATCATCGCAAAAGTTGTATTCAGACAAAGACCCACCTGAAAAGGGCCCAAAAAGGGATAATAGAACCAGAATTTTGATTATTTTTGGTCTTTGGTTATATTGCCTGCGTGGAATATTCGCATCGTGACACCTCAGAGTTGGGTTACGCCAGAATTCTATCCGGTAAATTTACAACTCATAATTTCTTAAACAGTGTGCCATATTTATAGGTGGAAAAATTCTTAGAGATGATACATTTCGTTTCTCTTAGATTTTTTTTTTTTTTTTATCACAAAATATCTTAGATTGAAACTATTTAAAATGTAAATTTATAATACAATTTTAGAAAATATAGTATTATTCTTATAAAATAAATCTCACTTTCACATAAAAACGAATGAAATATATCTACGAAGCTCCCGTAACTACGAAAGCCGATATTGATGGTAAAGTCCATCATTTGAAATTTTTACAACACTGTTAGAAGCACAACATAGTCTTCCATAAAAATGATAGTTTTCTTTATTTTACATTTAAACGTGATCAGTAATTATTAAATAAAATAACTTGTTATACATATAATGACCTATGTACAAATAGCATATCATCTTAATATTTTACGAATTTAAACTATTGTGATGTACACCATTAATTAAATTTTTGATTGCAAATTGGAACTCTCTTGAATGATAAAGATAATTTTTTTTTTTTTTTTATAACCGGGATGTCTGAACCAGCTTACGTACACCTCAACTAGTTCACGAGATCCATAAAACAATCTACAAATCTAAATGATTAGGTAAATCACAATATTATTGTAGTAGATGACCCCAAGGTTTGATCCCAGAACTAAAAAAAGAAACAAACTAATGCCTTGGGATTGAGAAAGATAACTTTAATTGCAAGTATTTAGAAGTGTGATCAATAATAAGAACTTTCTGATTCCAAACTCAAATACTGCCAAATACATAAAAGTCTTCCAAATTAAAAATAGTTGCTGAGACTATTAGTTCCTGCATCATGCATATGCCTAAAGTAACATACTACATGCCCCTATTTTACTTCTGAGTTCTGAACTCTAAAAACCGTATAGTTAATCTCGTAGTGCAAACGAATGCTGCTACTTCAATTTGTCCAAGTAACAAGAAAATTTCCACATACTTAAGAAATACAAGATCATAAAAGCCCGAAAATTCTACAGTTTAAACAAATCATTATAAACCCTTTGAAAACAATTTGGAAAACCAGTTCACTGTATTAATTTGTCCCTCCAACAATGACTTGAAAAAGACAATTAAATTGTTCGCAATACCTTCTTACTTTTTGGCGTTGTACATCGACTCCACCTTGCCATCATTCCCTCCCAGCAACAAATACTTGTCCTTCCTAGTTAATGAAGTGCGTTCTAATCCCAGAACATCACCCAACACCTTCTGCACGTAATTCGCCACCTCAATTGATGATTTCCCTCCAGCCTTACACGTCATCTCTACTGGCAAACGATCAAGGAATGTCACCTCATATGTGGGCCTAGGATTCATGAAAAAGAAATAAGGGTCCCAAAATTTAACCCCACGTACGGTCGTCCCATAAAACATACTTTGCTTACAATTCATTGCCACTGGTACAATTCTATCGCTCATTTCTGCGAACAAAGCACTGAATCGCAGCAAGAAGTTTTCACGACAAGTAGTCCCTTCTGGACAAACCACTAGATCACCCTTTTGAAGAAGTTCTGATATACGAGCTGCGTCAGCTGCGCGATCACGTGTCAAAGCAATGGCTGGGATCGGTGACAGAAATCTTGAGAGGCGACTCACGCTATATGTAACACACGAAACTTTGCGTCCAAGTGCAATGGCAATTATGATTGGATCAAGGGCTGTGCGGTGATTACACACGTAGAGGTTGCCAGGGGACCCAGAAGATGGTGCAGGAGGTGGATTTCCGCGAATCACGAGATGGATACCAAGCATTTCGTATGTGTACCGTACGATACGCTCAGGAAGAGGAAGATTAAAGTATACACGAATGATGCTGAGGATAAACCCAAAGGGCAGCCAAATATAGGTGATCAAAGCATTCAATGGGGTCAGCCGCTGAACTAAACGACCATCATGGAAGATGATTCGGCTTTTAAGTCGATCTAGTGCTACAGGTTTTGTTGATTTCCTAGGATGCACCATGAAGCCCTCCTGTTTACCACATAGTATCAATAAATTTATCACATTAATCTAACTTAAATAACTAAGAGTACGAAGAAGAAAATAAAAAAAAACCACGTTTTTTCTACCACATCTGCACAGGAGAAATCACCCACGATGATAGCCACAAAATGACCAAATTAACCAAATAATCAGTAACGTTTCATACCAATGCAATCATAATTCCAAATGTTTGTTTAAAAAGTACTTGATTATCGGTTATCCATGTTTATGAAAAAGGAAAAAATTTTGAATGGAAATTGTGGTGATGACAACTTGCAGCCGTAATTTGAGAAGCGAGAGGCTGGCAGCTGGTTACCAGTGCACCGTAGCTCAACAATAAAAGTCTTTGAATGGACCACCTAATCTTTACACAGGCAGTTGAGGATAGTTAAGACTTAAGACTGTGGGTCAGTGGGTCCTGTTGGGTTAAAAGCTTTAACCTACCACATATCAATGACCTCTGGTCTATGCTGCTTCTCTCTTCTTAAGTCAACAATTAGTTCATAGATTCACTGTTTTTCGTTTTACGTGGCCATCAACAAATTAAACAATTAATGGTAATAAAGATACGCAAGAAAGATAATATAATAAGATAAGATATATATCATGACATTAATACGTTTAACTCTCAACAACCAGAGTTAGAAAAACCTCAAAGAGAAATTTAGATCATATAGATTATATATTGAAAATATTTTTAGACATTATCTTAAATTTTTGTGAAACAACTCTTCTTATGGAACATGTTTTAATATTAATTAAACCTATTATATAGAGTTCCTTAGTCCTTACCGCTTAAAACGTATTATCAACAGAAATAATTTGGAAAAGAAATGTAGTAAAACACAAACCTTGCAAATCGCCATGAAATCATGATCCGACTCTCGGTCACCAATTCCAAGATCCGGGGCTTCCTCCCCAAACTCCTTCAAAATGGCTAACCTCTTCCATTTCCCAACCAAAACCCCGGGCTTCTTCACAAACCCGGTGGCTCTCTTGGTCTTCGGGTTCACTTCGATCTCCGTGCCCAAAACCTTGTCACCACCAAGGAAATCCTTCACAAAAGGCTCCACCATCAGAGTTGGATTCGCCGTCACCACCACCTTCCTCTTGCACTTGTCAAAAACTTCATAACTCTCCTGTCTCACATCAGCTGCATAAAACCTATCAAAATACATATAAATAACTTAGCATAGAATTAATCTAATAATACTCAAAGTTTTTTCTCCTAGCATCGATCTCCTAAACTATGAAGTTGACTGGAAAGTTTTCCCTCCAATCAAACATCTGCAGATCAAGGGGAATAAGCCATGTATATAAGGACAAATCAATTAAAACACTAAGCTGGTAACTATGGTGATTAAACTAATAAAGCCACTTAGGTTAACTGGCTAGGGTTTATTTATCGAAGTCACGAAAGATTATACTAGTATTACTATTGATTCATTCATTGGTATTTGGTTCCTTTTATCTTACCTTGGCAAGACAGCACGAGAAGCTAGTTCAATATCTCGGATCTTGAGGCCAGCGAATGAAATGAAAATGAGGATTTGAATACCAATAGCTTCTGATATGAAGAGGTAAGCAACAATGACGATAGGGAGAGAGAGAAGAAGGACGAGACCGCGAAGTAGACTACCGGCTTCCATGGCCACCAGCATAAAGTAAGGGAAGGAGCTTCTAGAAACTAGTAGTGTGCCATCAAGATCGGCAGCAATTGAGCCGTAAGTTGAGCCTCTACATTCCGTAATCGAGGGAAACTTTCGGGTCTGTTTAGCAGACATTTTTCCGGCCCAATAAGATATGTAACGGTTGTATCTCTCTTTGCAGAAACTTCTGTAAGCCTTTTTCTCTAGAAATTTGTTTCTTTCTATTGTCTCTCTCTTTCTGAGTGGAGGTGAAACTGGGAGGATGGAATGATGAAGAGGTAGCGCCAGGTTTTAAATGTGGGCGTTGAAGGGTGAAATTACGTGAATAGGTTTTTTCCGAAAGGGTAGAAATTAGAATGAACAGTTAAGCGACTTAACGATTATATTATTATATCGCCTAGTTTGACCTTCTGGTCGTCTGACATTTTTATAGCTTACCTTAAATTCATTTATAAATATTGAAATGTGACAAATATTCATAATAAAATGATAATACTACTGTACCCGAAATATTAAAATGAAACATTATATTATATCACAATCATAATTCATGCATGATAAAAATACTTTTTTTAATATGTATACTTCCTCATCGCTATGCTTATAAATTAACGTAACAACAAAATAAAAAAAAATTATATGTGGGGGTCAATGCATTTTTTTTAATGATATTTTTCACTTTTATGAGTATAACATCATTAAAATATCATTTATGTGTGAATTTGTTCACGTCATTTAAAACTGTGTAATTCATAGTACCTATAACATGACATTACAGGTTAATGAGTTTGATTGTGATAATGGGGCGATCTCTTAGCCGGTGGCATGGCATGAATGACTGTACGTCGGTGATGACAGTTCGTGCATTTACTTCTGCTGCGAAACTTTGACTTAACTCTCTTAGAAATAAATCTAGACCGTTAAGATCTTAATCACATAATTATTTTCTTTTTCACACTGAAATGTCCATTTTCGTTCTCTGGAGTGGTGTAGTGTATCGTCAATACAAGAAAAGATCCGTAATTATATATGTCTTAAATGCACGAAGCCTAAGAACATTTTTGTTGTTTTGGCCTTTGGGTGATGAGTACTGGATAGACGATCGGCGTAATAACATTTTTTTAATAATAAAATGTTTTGGTTAGTTGGAGTAGTTGAAGTCTTGAAGAGCTTCAGATTGATGGGTTGTCTGCTTTTATTGGTGGCCTTATTTTCTTGGTTTAGGGTCTATTTCCTGCCAATTGTTGACGCGTGGTTACGTGTGGGATTCTTGCATTCCAGTATGGGTTTGGCTAGCTAAATATTCCTAATCTCAGGACTATAATTTACCACAGTCGACGTAGTTGAGATACTTGTTCATACCTCTTCTGACATAAGAATTTAGTGAGAAATTTTTTATGTTGTATATATTGAAAATGATAACTAATATATGAAAACCAGATTAATTATGGATGTGAACTCTTGATTTTTTTTTTTTTTTTTTAAATTAGGCATCTCCAACCTAACGTTAAGCGTCACGCCATTTTGGTATGGTGCTACAGTGCTGCGCAAAATTACTATAGTACATTACTTTTTTTTTTTTTTTTTGTTAAGTTAATTTGAGTATTAAATTTTATACGAAAGTTCACAGCAAATTTGTTTATTTGTATTTAATTTAATTTGATTATTATTATTAATAATAAATTCATAATAATGATATAATATACCCAGAGTGGTATACTCTCGTACAAACTATTCACGATCCACGTGGTCCCAAAAAAAATTATTTGCAATGAAACAAGAGGGATGTAGAAAAGATGTGGAACGTGCGTTTGGAGTTCTCCAATCGCGATTTGCAATTGTGGCAGGACCGACATGTTTTTGGGATAAAAATGTATTACATGATATAATGACTGCGTGTATTATTATGCACAACATGATAATCAAGGATGATCGTAATGTTGTGCATCGATTGAGAATCAGATGGAAGCGTCAACTCCCGAAATTGAAATTGTCGTAGATGAAAATGTCTGATTTCGAAATTTTCTTACTCGACATAAACAAATCAAGGATACAGAAGCTCACCATGCTCTTCGAAATGCATTAATTGATCATTTGTAGGAAGAACATACTAATTCGGAAAATTAAATTACTATCAATATGGAATTTTACCTTTGTGTTGTTATTATTATTATTTTTTTTTTGTATCATTTTATATTAGATGTAATGTTTTTCTATATTAAATATAATGTTTATTTGATTAAATAAATACTTAATTTTATTAAATTAGTATAATTTTTAAAATAATAATTATTTAATAAAAATATTATTCTTAATATTTAATTAATATATATATAATTAATAAGTAAAATAGATTAATTGTTGATTATTATAGTAAAAAAAATATATATTTTAAAATTTTTTTTTTTATGTAATATTTGATATAATGGATCGGAGGTATAATAGTATTTTACACTGCAAATTTGGTGCAAAACGGTTGGAGATGGTCTTAGGCGATATCAGTCGTCCTTATCTGTTTAAATATCTGTTTCGCTACACCTTGAATTCTCTGGCATTATCCTTTGAAGTACAAGTCTCACTCAATTCTCAGTCAGGTAATCAATTTTCATTAGAAGCTGCAATTTTTGGTTAAAAAATTGATTGAGGCCGGTTACTTTAAATGTCAGTGGCCCAACTGTCACTGCTTGATCGAGATTGTTTAGATGCTGGCCGTCTCTTAATTCCCAGCAACCAATTTTCCTGCCAACACCTTCCAAAGAATTAATTATCATAGGCCTAAGACCAAAGGATCTCTTTTATCTTATATTACTTGCCATCTCACCTGCATCACCTTGACTATAAGCCTTATAATCTTATATATGGTGACTGGTGAATCCAGCAATTTTACACAGGGAAAAGAGAGAATTTTTAGATCTAACGAGATCTGTTAACAGTTAAAATGGGGAATATATATCTATCTACACATTGAATAATTGATAGAAGCTTTTAGGTTAGGTGGATGTAACGTTCACCATTCACCAACCTCACCAATAATTTGCATTGGAGTTATGATGCTTGCAAGGGAGCCCAGGACTACGAGTATTTTGTGAATAAGAGTTGTAAAGGTTATTGATCATTATCGGTTCATTGAGAAAAATGTTTCCCAAACTAATAACAGAGACGAATATTCAGAAATTTTATCAAATGAATTTAATTATATATAAGAACTAAATTAATCATATAATTTGCCAATCAAAAGATTTTTACTATAAATACTTTTAAACCATTAAATATAATAATAGCATAAATAAAATAATTTAATATAATATAGGTTAACACCAATTAGGAATTATAATATTGATGTAATTGATTTTAAAAAACTGTCGGTGATTTAATTGAAAGAAAACTGTGTGTGTGTATAATGTGACCAGAAATTCTCTATATATAAAATCACAAGGAACAAAAAAATTAAAAAGAGCACTGTAGCCTTCTACTATTATATATTCATTGAATACAGATAGCAGATTTTAATGGATGGCTGCCTAGCTACAAGCCTACAACTCATATTTACATGTATCGATCTGACACAGTTGAAAGTTTATGTCGCCATTGAACATTTTTTATTTTCTTTTTGGTTTTTGCTACTACATCGGATCCAATTAATGCCGTCTGTTAGTTGTTACAATGTGAAATCACGGCAACACTCATACTTCAGGTGTGTAGCTGCAACCTCATTTCAAATTCGTTAAAGTAGTTATAAAAGAAAAAAAAAAAAATCGCCTTGACCCAATTACCCAGTTCCTGATCCATGACGCTCAACGTACGAAGGCGATAGAAATTAAAATCAACTTACCAACACTACCTAAGGAGAGGCACCAAACACTTGAACTATTGCAGAACATTGAACTCGAACTCGATTGAGAAATTATCCCCCGAGCCGAAGTAGCTAGGGTGGTATCAGTTGCCTGAGTAACCAATAATCATAGCGGGCAGATTTTAAGCATGAAACTGGACTTTGCCTAAGTTTCATATAATGAAGTACATTCGAAGGCTTGGATCGAATTCATATATAGGACATCTTGTTATTGCCCATGTAGGACGAACTTAATTATTCAGGAAAAAACTTAAACCTCAGTCTTGGTTAAACTGATCAAGCTACTAGCTAGTTGGACTTCATGACTGGAATGATAAAGTTTGGTAATATATCATTAGTTGACTTCCCAATGATCAGATTAAGAAAGGTGACGTGACTAAATCAACTCTAATTAGTGCATTAATCGTGTTCAAGTAATAAAATAATGAGTTTAAGTATCAAAATAAATATTCGTAATTACCTAAAAATATTTACACGTTATTTGAGAAAATAAAATTTTAGATTGTAAAGCTAATGGATTAAAAATAACTAAATTAAACAAATAAATAATATGAAGAACTTTACAATATTAATGAAGTTATGGTACAAATTTCCCCATAATTATGCTTGACAACTACTCTTAATACTCGTTTGTGCTATGAATTGGTAGGATTCCTCTAAAGCCAATTATCTTTATTCAGGTATAACATTCAACTTAATACAGATCCATATTTGGTTACTCTGAAATTAATAAGCATAAATTCATCAATCTCTTATGACTAATTCGCCTTATTCGGTTATGAATTAGATGGACCACAAATTAATCCTAAAATCTCTATTCGATTACTTCTAGTTTTAATACGCTGTGCAATGTTATTCCAATAAAACAATTATGAATATGAATTAAGCAAAAGACCCTAACTTCTCTATTCGAAACATCATCAAGGTAATTGAATCAATCTAACATTCATAAAACATTAAACTTAAACTCTTGCACAAATTCATAAACATAAATATGGTATTAAGAATAAAAATTGTTCAAAACATAATTAGGATATCAGAGCCAAAGTTCAGTTGAGTTGAGTGTTTGACAAACAGATGAGAAGTTAGAGTCGATAACTATCTCTAATACAAGCATGACCCAATATATGGGCTTGACCCAGAGGAGGAATATTGGAACTCACACCGACTAGGCACGCTTAAGCCTACTAGGTGAAAAGAGGGGGTAATCAAGGTGGGCCTCACTCCTCACCCAAAAAAGCCTTGTTGAATGGAAGGATTACCCCCTCTTATAAACTAGTAGGCTTGAGCATGCCTAGTCGGTGTGGGATTCCAACACTCCCTCTCACGGTCAAGCTCATATGTTGGGTCATGACTGTTATTGGAGGTAGTTGTCGGCTCTAACTCCTCACCTATTGGTCAAGCACTCAACTTAACTGAACATGGGC